GAATTCATAAATTAAAGCAACGAAGAAACTGAGATATATATATATATATATATTGAACTAGAAATAAATTATTTTTTGGGACTGCAAATAAAAATTTTTGCAATTAAATTCAAAAGAAAAAAAAAATGATATCTATAATAGAAAAGAATCAAAAACGTTTAAATATTTCAGTTGTAAAAATCAAAGGCATTAAACACGTATCTTGTACAATAAATTTAATCCAACATCAGCGTTTTGTCAGCCATCAACGAACGCATGAAATAAAGTCAATGTTGGTGCCCGTTCGTTTATTACGAACAGCACAGGCAGAAATCCCGAAAAGCTATAATTGCCATTCGATTAGATTCTCGATGCTTACTCCATTTCCAATTCCCAATTTATGGTGAATGCACATACGTGGATAGATAGATACATTGAGTAAAATCAACAGGCAAACAACGGAATCATTTTTCTATTCCTTTTGGGATTAATAAAAGAAATCCAAAATTGACAAATATTGCAAAAAAATACTATATTTTAATAAACGTCTTTTTTTTAGTTCTCGTTATTCGTTTATTAATTAAAAATTAAAAAAAAAAACAACCAATTAATTGAATTAAAAACGACTGACTAAAATTCACTTTCACTATATACTGATGTTAAATTAGTGGTCTGACTATAATATTTGCTTTAACTACTCACTGAAAACGACTTTTACTACTGTTACCAAAATTACAAAAAAATGTCCTATCTGACTAAAATTTACTTTTACTACTGATATACAAATTTTGACTTACTAAAACTTACTATTTTTAATAATACAAAAACTACATGAATCAAATTATTCAAATCTTACGCCCTTCTTTAACTGACTTTTTACTACTGATTATAAAAATACAATTTATCGTTTCTGCCGGACTAACTTTTACCACTATTACTAACATGACAAAAAAGTGTTGATAGTTTTGTGTAATCTTTACTTTTACTACCGATTCTAAAACAACAGGAATTTAATACCTGCTGTCTGACCAAATCACACTTTTACTACTGATTCTAAAACTTTCAAATCAAGTCTGACTAAACTTTTTCTTATACTACTTATAAAAAATTCCAAGGACTCAAAAAAAAAAACTTATAGAAATGAAACACATATTTAGTGTAATTACAATACTTCTGTCTGACTAAAAACTACTTTAACTACTAATACCAAAATGACAAAAATTTAATATGTTCTGTCTGTTCAAATCATTCTTTTGCTACTAATTCTAATGCTAGAAAAATTTTAATACTTCAGTTTGACTATAAAACAGAATTTTACTACTAATACTTCAATACTTGAAAAAAATTTAATTTATGCAAAATAAATAAAATATAAAAATATAACGACTCTATTAAAATATATTACTGCGCTAATACAGAAAAGCTTTATATGCACGTTTGAAAATGTACCGCTATAAAGACCGAGGCGTAACGAAGGATTTGTCAACTGAGTATGAACAAGAGTTGAATGTTGATCCTGAATGGACGAGAGGTCAACGGTGTATGCTCGGGTGCTCATTATTAGCCATGAGCTTGCGCCAGTGGTCCCCGAGTAAACACTTTGATTTATGTGGCCGGTAACTGCGATAAGGATAAACCGGCGGCCTAGACGGGGCACAAGTGGGGGTATATATAGGGTGAAGAAGGATAAAGGGAAACTGCATTGCTGAGCACAGCACATGCATATATATATACATAGACTTCAAATATCTAGATGCCCATTATATACATACATATATATATATGGTGCCTTACTCCCGTAGAGTTAGATACGACTCAATATACGTCAACTCATCCTCCCACCTCACTCCAACCAACTACCTACATTTGATTCTATACGCGGTTATTACACGGTTCCGTTACCCTATTCCGCAGTCTACGACCAGACAACGGATATTCAATGCATTGTCGTCATTCTAACAGAAAACAGGGAATCCGTAAACGGTATACTCCTTGTCCTTTCCTGTAGGACAGAATGAGTCAGATATATGTATACTTGCGATTACATTCAGATAATTGTATTCAAATTATATTCTCTCTTGTATTGTATTTATATATATACTCGATAAACCAACAAATCATAACCTAATATATAGTCAGTAGAGAATATACATCCATCAATTAGAAAAGCTTCACGCTAAAAGCATAGTTTTGGAACATTTTCCATCATAACATGTCAAATTAGCATATACGAAAAGAGAAATTCACCTTAATAAATAATATTAAACTTTTAAAAATACTTTTGTTAAAATTATAATTTTCCTAACAAAAAATTTTCCAGTATTATTATTTTGAGAATATGTTCCATGACATCAGAAATGGATGATTACACATAAACTTTTACATAATATTATTTCTAGAAACATAACTCAACAAAATGCCAAAATTAAACTATATCATAGTAGCTCAAATAATTATATTTAAACGTAACCCATTCGTACTATATTAAACAATCATGACAATAATTTTTTCCCCAAAAAATTAAAACAATAAAACTTTCCCTCGAAAAAAATTTTTGTAATTCAAATAATCAGTTATACTTAAATATCAAATAATTTATTTGAACAAAATAATTTTTATCTAAATTAAATAAAATTGTATTTGAACCAATAATATTTATGTATTTGAAACAAATATCATCTCAAATAATAAATTGATACAAATAAATATTTATTTGATAATAAAATATAACCGATTATTTGAATCAAATAAATATTTTTCAATAATCAATGTAGTTTCTTTTTTTTGCAATATCTAATAAAATAATAAGTCTAATAATACCTATAAAATAATAAACAAGGAACATAATATATATACAATTTACGAAATATCATACTGATATATTTAATGATCTGTCAAAATTTTGACAAAAACCATTTTTTTTCCCTATATTCAATTCAAATTGGATCGATTCTCAAATTTCCATATATACCAATTTAAATCAAACTTTGATGACCTGGTGTAGATTTTAATTAAACCAAAAATCGTCACCGAAATTTTCAAATTAAAATCCTCTAATCCTTTAACAGATTCGCGTCAATGCAAGTTTAATTAATAATTTTTCTATATATATATATATATATATATTGGAGAAATATGCATTATATTCGATTTACACAATCATTTTGTTCGCCAGTGTATAAATGCAAAGAGAATATAATTAATAGTTGCGCGCATATAATAATATATAATGCGCTCTGATGCTTTAATTAACTGGAAACAAAACCGTTCATTTAATCAGAGACGGGTATAAATTTCTTAGAGCGGAAGAATCCTGAACAAAAAAAAAAAAAAAAAAAAAAAAAAAAAAAAAAAAAAAGAAATGAAAAAAAGAAAATGAAGGACCAAAAATTGATAAAGATATAAAATACACTGAAAAGGCTAATATTATGATAAGAATAAAAGATTTAAAAAGAAAAATTTTGCATCGTGAATTTATGCACTTATATAGATACTGGAAAACGTCTGGACGAGTGCAAAAATAATATGGGAGAAAAATCGACGAAAATGGAACATAAAAAGCTTTTCTCGTTTCACGAAAAGCCTCCAAATCTCAAACTCTCTATTCTCGAATATATATATATATATAGATATATATATATATATATAGATATAAATTCTGAATAACGAATATTTATTTTCAAAACTTTCAATAATATCTATACTCTTCAATTTTCTAATGTTTTATTCAAATAAATAATAATATAAAATAGAATTTTATAATTCTATTAAATATTACAATTCTGTTATTAAATTATATAGGTAATACAAAGAGATTTTTTTTTATATATGATGAATGACTTTCTGTAATGACTATAAATTCGTAAATTTAATGGGAACTGTGAAAAAAACATTAAGAAACAAAAAATTTATCACTTCTTTGAATTTAAAGAATAACTTTCTATTTTTATATATATATACCCTTATTAATTCGCCTAACAAAAGTAGATGGAAATTGGCTCTAAAACAATAAACAAACGCTTTTGAAATTCAAAAGTACGTACAGTTTTCATTGAATTGAATATGAATCGTTCAGTAGATAAAGTCAGGATTTAGTCAGACGAACGCTATTGTTATCTTCTTAGAATAGCTTGGATTAAATAAACTCGTTAACTTATTATTCCTTCTCCTTATTGCATACAAAATAACGGAGAAATATTACATAATAAATAAATCCAAAAAATAAATAGAATTTACTCCCGTTATTTCTACTTCTCTCTAAATTAAAAACATTTAAATTTCAATTGTCCCTGGAATTTTATAAATGCAATAAAAATTAAAGAATAATTTATATTAATTAATTATATTAATATTATATTAATTATAATTATATTATAATTAATATAATATAGATAATAAAATTAAAAAAAAATTAATAATCGATATATTGAATCATTAATCAATAGAATAAAGAATTCAAAACATGTGCACGAAAGAAAAAAAAAAAAAAAAAAAGTCGATACAATTTTTAAATAATAATTCCAATGAACGAATCAGATTTTAAATCAGGATGGAGACATTATATTCCTGAATAATCCAATCAAACTAAAAATATCTCTGTATTGATTTAACCTCGCACCTCGCTGCACAGGTTACAGAACTTTCTTTTAATTACTCATCTCCAACCTGGCGAGATGTCAAGAATTTAGAGTCCACTTTCAAACTGAAGAGAGCAGCAATTTTTAATTAGCCAAAACTTTTTTTTGTTCTCACTATTCTCTTAGTCTTAAATATAGAAAAGAATTATTGCATCGCAAAATATACAATTTTTCTTGAAAAAAAAGGAAAATTTTTTTTTTCAAACAATCAGTTAAATATTTTTAACATTGTATTCAAATAAATTAATATAAATAAACCACGAATAAATAAATAATAATCAAAATATTATTTAAATAAATTTTTTTTTTTAAACGATACAAGAAGAAGAAAAATGTTTTTTTTTGGAAAAAAAAGAAGAAAATTTTTTTTTTATAATAACTTACGGGGAACGCTCGCCAATAGTAGATTGAGAAACACGAGGAGCTCCACGTGGTGAAGAAACTTGAATTGGACAATTGGGATAAATTTTTGATTTAAGTGAAAATTCATCGCGAAACTGCATCGCATCGCGACGTTTACCCAAATATCCCTAAACGGGCCCCCCTATTAGGCAGTGGATGGAGCCACAACTAAATCCACCTTTTCTTTCGAACCATACACGTTGAGCGCTACAGAGAAACTGCTTGCTAGCTTAAAATCGAGATTTCGCAATACTCTCGCGTAATTCCGAGGCCGTTCGGCTTTTCTCGTTAAACATCCCTTCAACCCTCTTTCCACCCAACCCCCTAAAAGCCCACAACCACACGCCACGTGAGGGAACTCGAACCACCATCACCAACCCTCAGATGTACTCTACCCACTTCCTTCCGACCATCAAGTACCAGTCTCAAAGAGCGCGCGCCAAATAACTTCGCTCTGATGCTATATAAATCACGAAAGCAAACATGACTGACGCATGGAAATTGGAAAATAACGCTCCACCTCAAACGTCATCGTCATCAACTTAACGTTTCACAGCCTTACTTAATATGCGTTAAATAATCTTATATACCTCAATTTAATGTATAAAGTAGGGAAAAATCAAAAATCCCATCCCTTTCAAAGAAAAAAGCTTTTATAAATGACATAAGGAAGAAAAATTGTTTTCCATTATATATCAAAGACATTGTTTTTCTTTTACATATTTTTTTTTTTTTTTATATATACATTTATTTCTATAGACTATTTATTAAATAAATATTATTTTTTTCGATAAACTATGTCATAATATAGTAATAAAAAATGTAAAAAGAAAAATTATTTAAAGTAATGATGACAATTACAATTAATAAATTTTTTTTTTTTAAATAATCTTCGCAAAGTTTTTTTTTCTCTATATAGGCAAATTCACGCAAAATAAAAAAATTTATTTAAAAAAGAATCAGAAAAAAAGTTAATCCAAAACTAAATATTTTCAAATATTTAAATACTCTCTAAATCTGAATTAGTTAAAAAGTTTACTAATTTGAATTAGTGACTCACCTTTTGCTTCTCAATTAGTAAAATTTTACTAATTATTAGTATCTTTTACTAACAATTAGTAAAATTTTACTAATTCTAAAACAAAAAGTGAGTCACTAATTTAAATTAGTAAACATTTTTACTAATTCAGATTTAGAGAGTAAATAAACAATTTTTAACTTTAAAATGTTTTCAATGCAAGTGTAAACAAAATAATTTTTAACATTTTGAATCATTAAAACTTGTATTTCAATCAGAATTACAATTTTCTAACATTAGGAAATAAAAATAATAATAATTTATAATAATAATACACTGAAGAAAAATTATTTAATTCAAATAATCGATTACTTGACTATTATAACAAATAAATATTTATTTTTATCAAATAATTATTATTTAAGTCAATTAAATTGTATTTGTTGAAAATACAAAAATTATATTCGTTCAAATACAGTTTTATTTAATTCAGATAAAAATTATTTAGTTCAAGTAAATATATATATTTGATAATCAAGCACCTAGAGAAAAGATTTCTGTGATTTAAAGAAACCAGTTTCTTTGACTTGTTTTTTTTTTCATTCAAAATAAAATTTTCTTTGAAACAAAAAAGCTTCTTAGTTTCAAAGAAAATTTCTTTGATTCAAAAAAATTTTCTTTAAATGAAAGAAATTTGTGCATTACATCGAAAAAATTCTAATATTGATATTATAAGGTCAAAGAAACATTTATTTGAATTAGATTACAAATTTTTTTGAAACGAACATAATTTTTTTTTTTGAATCAAAGATAATTTGTTTGAAACAAATAAATTTTCTTTGAATCAAGAAAAAATATGTCAAAGACATATTCTTTTATTTCTTTAAATCAAAGAAATCTTTTTTTCTCGGTGAGTAACCGATTATTTGAATCAAATAAACTTTTTTTATAGTGTAATAATAATAATATTCAATTAACAATAACAATTGTTTCCTATTGTGAAAAATTTTTAACCTTCATCCAAATGCAACTTTGAATTATTCAAAATATTAAAAAAATTCATATATTATTTAAATAATACCCGTATATATTCAATAAATAAATAAATAAATAAATAAGAAAATAATGGAAAAATTTAAATGCCCAAAATAACTAAAATTGTTATCAAATTTAAATAATTAATCAGAGAATACTGTTTTTATGAAAATTATAATTTCCTAAAAATTTATAAATTAAAATTATAAAACATTATAAATAATGTAAATAATTTTTAAACTATTATTATTCTTAGCTGAAAATTTAATTAATTATTATAAAATAATAACCTAGTTATAATTATATTTAAAATTTTTTATACATTTGTATTTAATTTATAATAAGTACTATTGTACGAAAGGGCATGTCTCGTCAATTTAATAAATAATAAATAATAAATAATAAATAATAATTTAATAAAGTAAAAAAAAATAAATTTATTTTTCTATTTTTATGGAAATAAATGTAAATTGTAAAAAGAATTACGCATACAAATTTATTTTTTTTATTTCTGAAAATCTATTTTTAAAATAAATTTGGAGAATGGTGTTTGATTTTTCTATCTTTTATCGGGGTTTATTGTGTTATTTTACTAATGATGGAGCTGTGAAACGTTATGAGTTGACGTTTAACGTTAAATTTATATTAAAATTTTTAATTTTAATCATTTGTAATATTAAATAAGAAGCAAATTTTAAAAGAAAATTAAAATGCTTCTCAAAAAAATTATAATAATGAAGTAAACACATAAAAACATTTTATATTAATAATTAAAAAAAAATTTGGCATGCCTTAATTAAAGGTTAGGTATTAATATAGGACTTACCGATTGAAGATTTTCTGGACCGCAACAATTCTCCTTACATGAACTGCCAAAGCCGCTGTTGTAGATATTCCTCATAATTAGTTATTTCTGCCGTTTAATCCTGTAAATAAATAATTAAATTAATTAAAACATCAAAATGAAAATCATGTCTTTTACCAGAACATTTATTCAAAATTTGAAATAATTCCTAGGAGAATACACTGTATACTACACTAATCAACGAAATGACAGAATTTTCAACTTTTTCATTACATTTAATCCAATTTAATTCTATTTGACCTTTGATTTAATCGTCTTTCAACTATATGTTAATTATCAAAATTCTTAAACATTAAATCATTAATTAATTTACCTTTAATTAAATTCTCCTCTAAGCTGTGTAAAAATATGCGTATACTACATTTGAAGGTTACAAATTTGTCAAAATGAAATTTCTCCAAGTACTTTAAATTCTTAATCTTGCCATCAAAACTTAAATGAATTGTTTAATATTTAAACAAAGCTGAACCCAATTATTGAAAAATATTCTCAATTAATATTTAGATTTGCAAGGTATGATTTAATGAATTTTATTCATGAAACATTTTTTTCACTTTTTTAACGACAATTTATGAATATTTTTGCAGTGGTGCAAACCCAAAATATTAAAACTACTAACCTCTCCATGACTACCAACCTAAATTTTAAAAAAAAATTTTTTATTTAATTAAAAATATTTTATTTAACTTATTTTCTATATTTAAATTAATTAATAATAAATATTTCTTTAATTTAGTTATTAAACTTTATACTTTTACCTGTTCTTTAAATAATTGACACGATTTTGAAAAATTTGCACGCAATTTTGAGGTTAGATTTTTGGCGAAAAAATTGTTCTCTAAATATATCACTTAATTGGCTATGTCTCATTAAACTTATTTGAAATTTCGATTCTTTATAAAAATAGGAACTGATTTACAAAAGATAATTAATTACTAATATTTGATTAAAATTCTATTGATAGATTTTATTTTTCCAAACACAAATCTCCCTACATGTTCTGACGTACATTTTGCCAATGAAGAGCACTGATACCAATCATGAAGAAACAAATTTCTTTAAACTTGAGCCAACCTAAGAAAATGAAAATTCAAATTGTTCTTTTTTCAACATTTCTGAATAAATTTTTATTTAATTTACGATTTAATGACAAACTTATTGAAACTTAATTAAAAATTAATAAACAAATTATTAAAAACAATTATAGTATAAGAAAATATGTAATAATTAAATAATTATGTATTTTTTAATGTCAAAAATCACCGCGCGTTACAGTCGCTACTACCACATAAACAACGCATTGTGTCAGTGTTCCTTAAATTAAACTAACCTTAAAATGAGTATACTTGAAAATTTTATCAATTTTATAATTGTTAAGAAGGAATATTCTAGTTTTATACAATTCTTTATATTGTCTGATGTTTACACAAAAGTGTCTAATATCTTATGGGAGAATTTAAATGTTTAATTTCTGCTATATGTAAAAAGATGTAAAATCAAAATATAACTTCGTTGTCGGAAGCTCAAAGTTGTTGTCAACTGTATATTCAACAATATAATCACAATAAACATTATGAATTATTAAGTATATATTAGATGTTTCTGATATGCACAGTATCTTCAAATTATTTAACATAAAGAACTTTTTCGTGGAGTGATGTGAGTGATAGAAAAATGATTTATAAATGAAACTCCTTTGCTTTGTGAGTAATAAAATCATTACAATCAAACTGTTATTTTACAAAATATAAATAAATCCTCTATAATAGATGACTCAGTGAGAAACGTGATAGAAATTTAAATTTTAACTCTTCAGTTCAATTTTTGGAAAGAAAAAAAAAACATTACATTTCTCATAAAAGTGACAATAAACGAGCTTTGTGCCATTCGATGTTTCTGCATTATATACAATTGTTTGAATGTTTCTTCATGTTTATCTCCTTTTTATGAATTTATTATCTGGTATTTTGAATTGATTATCAATAATCCTAGCAGTCAATTAAAAGGTCAATTTGAATGCTCAAGGTGAGTATTTCTTTTTTTTTCCCTTTTTGAAAGATTTTTTTAATTTTTAAATTAAAATTCAAAAAAGTTTTCAAGGATAAAATTTTATTACATTTGAAATTTGTCAATTTTTCTTAAACGTATTATGTCTCTAGAATAATATCTTCACGCTTGTTTCAAAAAATAATTTCATTTCTTTCTTTTACCCATCAAACGTGAAACTTGATTCCACTTTTTTTCAATCTTTATTCATGCGCGAATATTTGGTTGAATGACGTGGCCGAAACAAAACAAAAAGAACTTCTTTTTCTGTATTTAGTATTATAGTTACATTTCGAAACGTCATGAATATTTTCTGCTGAACAATTAAATGTTAATATCATTAGTAATTTTAAAAACATAATATATTTGAAACTTGAAACTTTTTTTATCTAATTTTCTAAAAAAAAGTTGAAATAAAACTTTAGTATTCAATTATAATAAGAATAAGTAATTTTACAAAAAAAAATTATTACACCTGTTTAAATATTATTATCTAGATTAATTTTTGTCTTAAAACATATATATAATATATATATATATATATATATAAATGTTTATCTTATCTTTCAGAAAAATTGATATTTTTTTTACACACATCCATAATGTCTTCAAAACGTAATTCACCAGTAGAAAAGTCTAATAAACGAACAAATAAAAGTCGCAAAAATGCTGCCGAATATCAAGAGCGTGTACTCAATCAAGTTCGTGAAATGTTTGATTCCATTTTAGAACCAGACGTTATTTTATCTGTGGTTCAAAATTGTAACTGGAAATGTAAGTCTCTGCTTTATTTATGTATATATATATTTAAAAATGTCTATTACGCATTATTTATGTGATGTAAGAACGTGACTGTTTCACTTTTAAAAATAATAAATATCGAGAAATTGTTTAAAAACTTGCAAATATATAAACAAAAAGTGTGATTTTAAATTAAATATCTTTTTTATTTAATTTGGATTTTTCTTTTAATTAAATATTTTATTTATTTGTTCAGGATAACACTTGATTAATGATAACAATGCATAAGTAATTACATATTGGATTATTTTTTTTTTCAGTACAACCGTCCATTGAATGTTTGATTAGCTTATCAGCAAATATCAACACTTCCAAAGAGAGTGACAGAAATTTCACCAATTTTAATGCAGATTTGGAGAAGGACGAAGAAGGTGCAGTGGGAAATAATCGAGATTCAAGTCCAGAAGAGGATGCTTTTGAGGTTGATACCGATTTCACATATTTGAATATTGACGACGAGGAATTACAAAAACAAAAAGATGAATTCAAAAGGTTTGAATTAATGCGAAAACATACACAGGATTGCAATGAAGATTTACCTAAACATTTTTTTCAAGAAAATTTTGAAAAAATCTTTGACGACTTTATTTCTTCCACAAATGATCCATCAACAATTATAGAAGATTCATTATTACCCAGCGGAAGTAAAACACATGAAAGTTCACGTCAATTTTCAAATTTATCTGAAGAACGTAAAAGTAAAACAGAAACTGAATCACTTTGTGGTTTAAAGATTCAATATCGATTTGGTGGTCCCGAGGCAAGTTCCGATGATGATGCTGATGTGGTAATTGAAAAGGAAAGCAACGATCAAATAATAACAAATTCCGAGAATACATTGACAAACGTTTGTCAATTTTTATCGTTATCTACGGAAAGTTCGCCAAAAACAACATTCCCTCAGGTTGAAATGATTAGTACCGCTTCGCCAATGTCGTCGCCTGTTAATGAAAAATTCAAAGCCGGTTTTAATGCCACACTAAGTCGAATAAAATCGACAATTCAACGAGGATTTAAAATAATGGTAATAACACGCGGACTTCCCGGTAGTGGAAAATCATATCTCGCAAGAAATATCGCTCAATTGGCCGATGAAAATGATGCTGCTCAATTTATTTTTAGTACTGATGATTTTTTTATGAAAAAAGGACGTATTTATGATTTTGATCCAATGAAATTATCAGATGCACATACATTTAATCAACAACGTGTTTCAAAGGCTGTGAAAGATGGAATTAGTCCAATAATTATCGACAATACCAATACTCAATGTTGGGAAATGAAACCGTATGTGATTTTTGCAGTGCAATATGGTTACTTTATTGAAGTTCTCGAACCAAATACACTCTGGGCATATAATGTCAATGAATTGGCAAAAAAGAATATACACAATGTGCCGAAACAATCAATACAAAGAATGCTTGAACGTTTCGATAAAAATATCACCGCGGCAAAATTGTTAAAAATGTTCTCCTTGAAATATGAATCCTTTAATACACCACCACAACCATGTTTAAATGATCATGTCCTTAAGAAAAAGAAAAAAAATCCTGATAATCTAAAGGAAACGAGGAAAATTCAACGCAAAAATAAGAAAATTGAAGAAAAATTGGAAAATTACACTCCTGTTGGTGTCTCAAATGCAACAGTTGTCAATGCCATTAAAACACCTCAAAATGAAAATCTAACTGCTTTGGAACTCGCTCTCAAAACTTTCGGTGGTGACGATGATGATTTATCGCCAAAAGAAAATACACAACATTTAATTGAGGACAAATGGGATGAAAATGGCACAAGTTGGGAAGACGAGGAATTAAAAGTCGAAATCAATAATCAAGAATCAAATAATTTAAAAGAAACACTCAATGAAGAATCATCGAGTTATCGTCCATTTGTTTTAAAAGTGGCTGATAATGTGAAAAATGTTCACGAAGTAAATGAAATACATCCCACCCTCGGTGCAATTGGTTCTGAGAGAAAAAACAGTTTTATTAAAAATTTCCCTCCAAATTCTTCGGAACTCGATAATAATACTGTTCTCTCACAATGTTGGGATTTCACTATTTTACTCGATGGACAACAAATACACAGTGTTGCACCCGAAAATGAATCTCTAAACGACGAAAGTCGGGAAAATTCGAATAATTCCACAATATCGCGTTCGTCGGAAAATTCACGAAAAGTTAAGAGTCCAACTGAAGAATTAAAAGAGGCAGCTAATGATAAAGATTCACCTGACAGTGGTACTAAATCATCCACAACTGAATCTTTCGAACATATCGATTCAAATAGTGAGGATTCATCATTTGAAATTCGTGATCTAATCGACGCGAAAGAAACAACAGAAATAGATGATGAAATTACAATAAATTCAGAGCACGATCCACAAGCGAAAGTCAGTTTTGGATCAATTATGAAATTCATTAAAAAATCATTCCTCGGCGTTAATAATAATAATAACGAATCATCAAAAGAAAAAAAGAAAAATTCCGAAACTGTCATCATTGATTCTCTAACCGAAAAATTACATTCACCCGTTAAAGATCATAATTATTGTAAAACAAAGAATCTCGATTACGAACATTGGATTATGCCCGTCAATGAACATAATTATTCAAAAACACCTGATGACGAGCCAGAAATTGATGACACCTTAAGTAAGAAGCTCGCCGAATTTTCTCAAGATTCACCAAATAAATTAAATTTAGTTTGCGAATCACAAGGAAATTTCAAATGTATTGATTATCTTGATGATTCCCTAAAAGAAAATTCAAATTTCGTTAATATTTCCCCCGATATTGATTCATTGGAGAAAGTGAATATGTCAAATTTTGAGAAATTAGTTTCCATTTTAAATGAATCACGTGATAATTTAGATGCACTGAACTCTAAATTTGAAACAATAAAATTGACCGAAGAAAATGAGAAATTAATTCTAGAAGAGAAGGAAATACAAAGTAATCAAGATAATCGTTTAAGCTTTACAAAAGAAATTGACGAAACATTACTTCAAAAAAATGAAAATCTTTCAGTAAAAATCGATAAGAATTCTGATCCAAGTGAAGAAATGATTGATAATATTAATTCAATATCATGGAAAGAATCACCATTTCCAATTTATGGTTCCGAAATTCCAATGAAAATTGTCGAAGTATCGAAAACAATTATCACAGCAGAAGCTGCAACAAATACAAATTTCTACGATTTTAATGTATCATTCATTGGCGGAACAAATGAATCCGAATACACAATTTTGGATACATTCAATCGAAGTATCAACGAGGGGCAACAAATTCCAAATTTCGAGACACCACCACCAAGAAAATTAAAACTCGACAAAAGTTCCATGACAAATGAAGTTGATATTTTACTACAATTGCCAAATACTTCTCAAAATTCTGAGGAATCAGACAAAGAAATGATTCAAGGTTTAATTGATATGTTTCCCCACATACCCGAAGATTATATACTTGATGTTTATAAAAATTTATGTAAAGGCGATTCAGATTGGGCAATTGATGTATTACTCGATGGTGTACCATCGGGTGGAATTTTAAAAACATCGGAAAATTCATCTTCGAATTCATCGCCTATGAATAAAAAACAAGATAATCTCAAACAAACTATTGAATCAAATAATGAAAGTATGCAAAATCGTCGAAAGGAAAAATCATTAATTAGTGAAGATATTCTTGCATTGAAAAAACATCTTGAGGAGAAAGTGATGATAAGTGAGGCATCTTATCATCCACATACGTTACGTGTGAGAAAATGGAGAAATGGCGAGCCAGACGTTTCGACAGAAGAAATTATTGAAGCACAAGCGAAAAATAAAAATGTCCTTCAATTTGCCAATGATTCGAGATCAGGTTCATCACGAGAATCGCCAATAAATGAAAATATTTTAAAAGAAAAAGAAGAGAGCGACAGCGATGAATCATCATTGGAATCTGATGAAACAATAGAATTCGATTTGGGTTGGGAATTTATCAAAAATCTCGAATCACAATTTGGTAATAATGATTTTCAATTGCCTGATGGACTATTTCCGGTGATTAATATGAAGAAATCATTAGCCCAAGAAATTTATTCACTGTGGATTGAATCAATGCAACAGCAAATGGATGATCAGCAAGAACAATTGGATGCAATGATTGCAAAAGGTATTTAAAAAATTCCTATTTTTTTTTTTGGCTAGCTTGATTTTCATTTTGGAAAATTGACTTTCACAGACGCCGAATATGCAAAATCATTAGAAGAAGCTGAAGCTAAAGCTGTTAAGGAATCCACTGTACCAAGTTTAAATGAAGTCATGGATATGGAATTAGCTTTAGCGGTTTATAAAAATGACATGGTAACAAAAATATTTAATAAATAAAAAAATAATAATTAATTAGTTGAAAAATTTTTGCAGAAGAAACAACAAGTGAGAGAAACGCCAAACGATATGGCGTCACGTTTAACGCGGCAAATGTTAAATGAAATGTTCCCAAATACTGATCCCGAAACATTGAGTGAAATTTTAAAAGCGCACAATGGAAATTTTAAGGAAACTGTCGAAGTTTTAGAGGCGAGCACAGGACAGTCTTTAAGTTCAACAGGCGCTTTAGACAAACAAAATAGTTTAATCGATAAACTAAAGCAACAAAAATTGTCAAAAGAGGTAGAAATTTTTAAAAAAATGTTAATTTTTAAAAACTGAATTAATAATATTAAAAATAATTTTTAGGATTCAAAATCGCTTAAAGTGACGAGTTCAAAAATTACAAATGCAGAGCCAGATGAATTGACATATGAGCAAGTTTTGGATTCTGCTCATGAATCAAGAAGAGAAGCCGAAAGACAATTTTTATTGCGTAATGGAAATTTTAATAAAGCATCTCAAGCTTATAGAAATGGAAATCCTGCAGTTGCTTCATATTATTCTGAAATGGTATATAATAAATTTTTTTGTTTCTCAAAAGGAAAAAAAAGATAATGAGTAATTTTCATATTTCAGGCTAAATTACATTCGAAAAAAATGGAAACTGCCAATTCAGAGGCGGCAAGCGCATTTTTAGCGGCTCAAACACATGTTTTAGGCGAAGAAAATACACTAGATTTACATAATCTATTCGTTCCCGAAGCATTACAGGCATTGGATATATATTTAGATCATCAATTGCAAATGTTAAATAGTCGAAATAAAAGATCAGTGGAAATATTAATCATTACTGGTCGTGGTGCTCGGAGTAGTAATAATAAAAGTAAAATAAAACCTGCGGTATCGAAAAGACTTACTGCCAGAAATATTGGGTAATTATTTTTTTTTTTTTTGATAAAATTCCTTTAATTTTGTTTATCGAGAAAATAATTTTTCTCCTAAATTCTTTCAGTTTTACCGAAGCAAATCCAGGATGTTTAAAAGCAAGACTTTACAGACGCAACTCTTCTACGTAGATGTTTTTTTTTATACATGGAGATAATTTTTAATCCAATATATAAGGTAATCGTTCCACGAGATATATACTTATTTAAAAAAAATATATATTTTTCCAAAAATCCTATTTTCGTATTTTTGTAAGGTTTTTTTTTTACATCTTCGTATTTGTATATTGTAAATTTATATCGAGTCCTTCATAAAAATGAAGATCACGTGACGAGTACATCGAATTAATGTACACATTTTTTAAAAGAAATTTACAAAAAAAAAATGTTCTTATTCGGAATCGAAAAAAAAGTTTAATAAGCCTTACAAATTTTATACGAAAGAAAGATTGAGGAATATTTTTCCATCATTAATTTCTCTACGCAAAATTATCATGGATTGTTTATTAATTGAAAGGTATCCTTTCTCTTCTACATTTAATTCAATTATTTTTATTGAATTGAAAAACAATGAAATTTCGTAATTATTTTACAATTTTGAGAAAATAATTTTACTATATATTTTTTTGCATGCTATTGTCAAATTATGTATTTTTAAAGATTGATTTTTTTTATTGGAATTTTTATATTTAGTTTTTTTTTAAGATGAAATAATAGAAAAATAATTGGATTAATTAATCAAATAATTTATATATGTGAAATTAAATGATTTAATTAAATCCATTAAGTGATTTGAGATTAGTCAATTAATAACTTACTTTATAAATTGGTTATTAATTGATTAATAATTATATTTTTTATGATTGAGACTATATTTATGAATTAACTATTAAATGCCTTTTATCTAAGTGAAAAATATTCAACTTAGATATGTGCAAATAAACTTATTTTAAAAACATATATATATTTTATAATCATCGAAGAAAAAAAAAATTGTTATTTTTAGTAAATAGTTAATGAACTTGTATAAATGAATAATTATGTGAACATATCTACAATCAAATGCAGAAGAGTGTTAATTTTTTAAGTTCGTTAAAAATGTTATTAAAAATTATAATTATTGCAAATATTTGTGAAATTACATTTTTTTAACTTTTACCGTGCAATTATTTTTTTACCTCATTATTTAAAAAAGAAATAAGAAAATTTGAATCAATGGAAATTGAAATTACTAACAATAAATGGAATAATATATTACGAAAATTAAAATTTTAAACTTTATAAAAATAATTACCTTATAAGTGAAGAATTAATTTTATTGTAAAATTTTTGAAAATTTATAACTCAATTTAATCTCTTATTCTGTAATTTATCTTGTTGATATTTGAACTTTGTATTTTTGTGTTGTCTTATTTCAAAATTCATGTTTAGCAATTTTCTTTGCTGGACTTTTCACGTAAGGTGATTTAATATTAAAGCTTGGCCTTTTTCCGGAAATTTCGGGCACACGACGAATACCATTTTCCATGTTAATAGAACGTAAATTTTGTTGTTGTCTATATAGAAATTGATATCCTGATTGCTTTGGTAGGACATGACGATGAGTTAATTTTTCTTGTGGAATTTTACTTGAAAAAAAAATATATTTTCAATTAATTCAAGTTCAATAACTTAAACTAAAAACAAAGAATAATTTGACAATTTAAAATAACATTTAATTGTTTTTTTAATTTGTTGCATTTACATAATTTCATTAAACAAATTATTAATTCTTTAAATATAATAAACATTTTTATTTTCTATGAAACAGTAATTGAACTATTAAAAATTAGAAAAAATTTGAAAAAGAACTTGTAAGGTAAATTTAAAAAAATACTTGTAAGGCAGTTCATTAATTTGTCTGCACGTTTCTCCTTCGTAAAAATAACGATTAAATCTCCGCGCTCTTAAATTAGGATAATCCACTTTTAATGAATTGTTTCTCTCCATGATTACTTTCTGCATTTTGTTTTGATTCTCATACATTGAAATATGTCTTCCATTATTACATTCAATATTTGGTAATTTTATTTCTGAACCATCCGATTTGATTATCTAAGAATTAATTTTAGATATTCAATTTTCAGTTATGATTATTAAAAAGATGCAAATAAACTAAAATATAATTATTTTTTTTTTTTTTTACAAAGATTTCAAACATTTTACCGTAATTTTTCGGCTGAATGGATTTTTTTGAGGAATATTTGGTATCCATTGCGTTGAATTTAAAACTCTTGGTTGAATAAATTCGCATGATGAATTTCTTCTTGAATTTGAATCGGTTGGCAGAATTCTGGAAAACTTTGAAGAATAAAATTTTTAAATTTTTGTTTGATTCAAATTTTAAGGCTGAAAGTAAATGTTCATTTGTTTTCTTTTGCATTTGCTAAAGAATAAATTTTTTAAAAAAATTCTTTTAAAAATAATTCAATTGTTACTTTCGATTTTCGTCGTTTTTGAGACAAAATATGGTTTATAAGAACAGGATTTTGCCATTGTGGAGAATTTTTTTGAATTGCTTGCGTTACGCTTCTTGTAATTCTCGGCAATTCTTCTCTACAAAAAAAAAAATAGTAAAAGAATTTAGTTAATTAAATTAAATAAAAATTTCATTATCAATTAAAAGAGTGATTAATTATTCCATTTCTATTGAATAAAATTTCTGATTAAACGTTGGATTTAAAATGAATTACAAAAAAAAGGATTTGCCTTAGTTCATAAAAGTATCGATGATCCAAAAGTCTTTTTACATTGCTTCTGAATTCCGGATCATAAATTAACATTAATCGCAAAAGATCTCTTCCAGCTTCAGATACATGTGGAACCAATGAATAAAGTCCTTGGCCTTTCTTCGACGAAAAGAAAAAACAATTTCGAAGTGTTCTGAACAAATAAACTTTTAATTAATTAAATATTAAATTTTTTATTTTTATTTTAGTTAAAAAAATATGGATAGTCTTACTGTTTTCGGAATTTCACCACTAATCTTGCGTGAGGTGTACCCAGAATATCGTGAATTTTTGAAATTTGATCCAATTCATTTGAACCAGGAAAAAGAGGTTTTAATCTAAAAAAAAATTAATGCTTTTAAATTATTTCTATTCATCTCTAAATTTTGTCTATAAAAATTGAAAGAAAAATTTTTTAATATAAACTAACGTTAATAATTCGTAGAATACACAACCAGACGCCCAAATATCCATTTTTGATCCATAATATCCCGTTGTTAGCAAACATTCAGGTGGACGATACCATCTGGTTGAAATATAATCAGTGTAAGGTGGTTTACTGTAAATTCCTTTAACAGATCCTAAATCGGCTAATTTTATAGAATCTCCCTGTATAAATAAAAGAAAAAAACATTAAATTTTAATTATCTTAAGTAAATTAAAGTTTATTTTCAAATACCTTTATTAAAATATTTTCCGGTTTAATATCTCGATGAAAAATCCCATGCTTATGCAAATGCTCCAATCCTTTTAATAGCTGATGTAAATATAATTTGACTTTTTTCTCCATAATCATCTGCCTGCAAATAAAAAAAAAAAAATTTATATTAAAATTATATTGATATTTTTAGAATATAATTAAAGTGAAGTAATGAAAAATAAATTACCCTTTTCTTGCTTTCATCATGACATAAAGACTCATATCCATTAATTCAAAAATAAGAGTAACTCTCCCAGATAATGGATCACTGATGAATTGTATTAAAAAAAATTTTTATATAATAATGAAGATATTGAAATTTAATTATTTAAAAAAAAATTTCAACCACTTACTACAAACATTCAAGCACATATAAAACATTTGGATGTCTCGTGATTTTTCTCATTGTCGAGACTTCTGAACATTCCAAAATTTCCTTAATACTGTTAAAAAAAATAAATCAATTTTCAAATATCAAAGTTTTTATCAAAAATTTTGCAACTCACTTAAAATAAGTTTTCTTCAAACGTTTCGCTGCAAATAATTCACTAGACACTTTATTTTGACATTTTAAAACATCCGAGAATGAACCTTCACCAATTTTCTCTATTACCTTATATTCTATAATTAAAAAAAAAAATTAAAACCTTAAAATAATATTTCTAACCCTTTCAATTGTAAATAGTATCAACAAACTTTTCAAAAATGTGTCGAACATAATTTAAGATTATGTGTTTGCTGATATAAAATTCTTGCTTAAAATCAAATAATTGATTTCCACGTATAAATACCATTTTTTGATGAAAACTTTCTAATGTTAAACAGTTAAAAGTTATTGTATAAAAAAAGAAGGAAAACATTCATACAAAAAAAAGATGCTCCACTGTTTTTTTACTTCAGACGATATCATCTGTTATTACTCTGAAATAACTGTAACTATTAAATTTTAATTCAATTGTAATTTAAATTAATTCAAAAATTAAATTAAAATTTTGAATTAATAAAAAGTTAATTAAAAATTAGTCTATATCGATGATAATAAATTTTTTATCCTCAAAAAATAAATTAATTGAAATCAAACTTGTAAAACAGATTTCATAGCAAGTAAGGACTAATTTTATTTTTTTTTTTCGTATGATTACATTTTATATATATTTATATATCAATCATAATTAAAGTTTACATATAAATATATTCGTCATTGTTTATATATTTATATGCATACGAATAATAATAAGAATAATAATGATAATAATAATAATAATAATAATTTTTTTTTGTTCTAAACTAACATAGTTATTAAAAACAATATTTAACTGAAGAATAATTTCATCGATACCTTCTTATTACAAGTATTCGTAATTATTTCTACAATACCGAGTAATCGTATGCTCTACAGTCAGCTTTTTTTATGTATATTTATGACAAGAATAATAGTATACTACAATTATTAATTACACGAAAAAAATACTCCTTTTAATGGTATCATATATATATATGTATACATATAAATATATATGTATATATATAATTTTTGATTTTAGTCACCAACAAATTTACCAATAATTCAATCGTATTCTCGAGGTCTCATTAATCTTTCACATTAAATCTTTTTATCTCCCTCAAAAGCATCTCCTATTAAAAATTCTTTTCCAATCATTAAATTACAACTCATTAAAGAGACAAACAATTAGATTACAAATTTAATGCAATTTATTAAGCAACAAACAAAATTTTGTCCCCCAACAAAAAATAATCTAAAAAAAGATTAATACAAATTTTGAATTCTAATCTAAATTTTTTTTTTTTAATCAAAAAGATTGAAATCTTATATCTTGTTTTTTTTTTAATGAAATTTTTAAATCATTTTTCAATTGTTTTTTTAAATTAAACATTTTTCTTTTCATTCTATTCTCTTAAATAAAAAATTATTTTTAATTTAAGAGAAATGATCTTATACACCGATGAAAATATCAGAACAATAGTTGACAAATTAATTTTTGACTGTTTGTTTAGAAAAAAAATATGTTACATTTAAAAATGAAATTAAATGTCTGAGATTAGCAAAAAAAAAAAAATTTCTTTTCCCTCTCATTCAGACCACCTTGCCAAACACCACCCACAGTTCCAAAATTTAAATATTTTAAGGAGCAAATGCCTTCAGGTCGAATTCAACATAGAGATTTAATTTAGAAAAGAAAACCCTTAACTAACCCAGAAAATAAGATTTAATTTCCATTATTCTTGGCTTTTAACGATTCCGTAGAATTTTTTTTTGTTTAAAACAAAAAACATTTTTCTAACAAAAGAAGAAAAAACTGTAAATATTAACATATTTCTAATGTTATCAATAATTACAATTGCATATGTTTGAAAAATTTTAAGAACAAAATTTGTTTCAATCGATGTTTAAAAAATTTATGAAGACAATACAAGTTGAAAATTTTCATAGAAAATTCAAATTCAATCCCTGATTTTTTTGTTTATTATTCTAGGAAAAATGTCATTAAAGAATTATAATTATGAAAAGTTGTTAATTGACATTTTTAATTACAACAATAATAATTATTTTTATAATTATAATTATTGTTTCTTTTTTAAGGTAGTCACTATTATTATAGTACACACAATAAGTGAAAGATCTTTTAACAATCGTTTCACAAAATCAGAATGATTTAGATTCCTTTGAATTTTCAATGAAAAAAATAACACTCAATCGAATAACTACAAACTAGAATCGCACACGCAATTAGCGAAGTTGTGATTTTTTTTTATAATTTTCAGGAGTGGTGTGGGACAAAGTGGTCTCGTCGTAAAAATTCATTTGTTTTTTTTTCGTTTTGTTAATTCGCTTTCACTAATTTGAATTAATGTTTAATGACAGTACCTTGCACTTGTCACTCAGTTTGAGTGCAAGCGCGTGTCCTCCATCGTTGTGAAATCCACCCATTTCTTTTTGCTTGTTCTCACCTTTCTTTTTCTTTTTTTCGTAAATCATTCTTTTTCACTTTTTGACAAATCTAATTTTCTTTTCTTCAAAAAATCTATTTTCATTATGCTTTAGAAAAATAATAAACGAACGAAAATTAAAGAGAATATCAAAAAAAAAAAAATTATGCTACTTTTTTTGGAATTGCAAATTGGATAAACGAAATTCTTATTCAAAAACAAATTAACCATTAAAGTGTATACATAAAATATTTATTTTTCCTTGAGCAATTACTTGCACAACAAAATTATTAATTTCTTTTTCGTACTAAGAAAATATAAAAATATGTACAATAAATTAAGTATAAAGGGTACAATACTATCACTGTACAGTACCGCACACTTCGACTTTTTGTTTTCTTAGAAAAAATTAGTCGGAAATTATTATTTTATCCGCGATTTAGTGACTTTTCACGGTATAAAAATCGAGATACCATGGGTCTCGAATTTTTTTTTTTTTTTTATACAATTCTCATTATAATTTACTGTTATAATTTATTAAAAGTAATTTCACACTCGTTAACTTCTTTTAAGTATATAATGATCACGAATTTAATCTTTTTTTTTTTTGAAAATTTATCCTGAAATCGTCAAGCGGAAAAAAAAATTTAAATTTACAGGAAGATTGAATAAATATTTGAATTGAATTTTATACTTGATTTTTCGTTTAGTTAGATTAGTAAAATCAATAATCAGTTAAATTTCGATACCTGCAAATTATATTAAAAAAAAAAAAAATAAATAAAGAAAAAACTTAACTAAACTAAAATCCACTAAAAAAAAAAACTCAAATATTAATCTTCTTGTAAATTTAACAACAAAAAATTGTTTCGTTACTAAAGAATAAAAATGTTTATTTTAAAAAAAAAGACTGAAAAAAATTTTAAAAATTCTACATTTTAAAAAAAGAAAAAAAAAATGAGAATTTGTAAACGTACCCGAGTTTTTTTTTTTTTTTTTTTTGCTATCGCCTACACAAAAAGAAATAGGTAGGTCCTGTTCACTATCTTTTTTTTAATTGGCTCGAAAAACGAATGCTTTTTAGAGAAAGTTTTTAATGACAAAGACTCACTACTGGACCCAAAGCTCCCTCACCACTCCGGAGTCAAAATACTTTAGGATTTTTCACTTCCTTATTTACACACTCAGGACCGTATTTTACACTTGAATTTTCGAACTCTATTCTCTCTCTTTCTTTCTTTCTCTCTCTTATGTTGACGAAGAGCTTCGTTACAAAGTAGATTGTTCTTCCTGTTGCTCACAAGGTACTTCACTAACACATTCACTAACTGCTTCTTCTCGTTCAGGTTGTACCTCAACTGGAAAATCAGATTTCATTTCCATTTGCGGTGGTTCCGGTTCGTAAAATTGCTCTTTATCCTCTGGAGGTTGAAAATCCACCACCGGTGGCTCAAAGCAATGCTGTTCCTCCTGTATTTGCTCACTGGGAGGTTCAAAATTCTGATTATTCGACGTATTATCAATAGGTTCGAAACTTTCATTATTAGTAGATTCAAAATTTTGATTATTAGTGGATTGTTCGAAATCTTGATTCGATGGTTCAAATGATTTATCAGTTTCAAAAGATTGTTCAGCGGGCGTTGTCTCGAAACATTGATTGTCATTGGGAGTGTTGTTGAAATTTTTCTCATCATCTGGCTCATTAATCTTCAATTGAAGAAGTGGTGGTGGTGGTTTCGGTGAATTAAATTTCCCTTCATCGATACTCTCATTTTCTGTACCTGGTGGTCGTTCATCATTCACTGATTCATTGAATTTACTTGAATTATGTTGTTCACTATCGAAATGATCACTGGATTGTCTTCTTGGTCTCTTTTCACCTTCAGATTGATCAGGATCACCGGAATCATCATTCATCGATGGACTGACATTGCCCCATCTTGATTTTCGATTTCGATTACGATTTTCACGATCTGATGCGGGGCCGCCTTTGTGATCTTGAAATTTAGATTTTGAATTATGATTGTCACGTAAATTGTGGTCCTCATGATCAGCTCCTGGCTCCATCCATGGTCCATTCTCTTGATTCCTCCAGGGTCCATCGTGTGGGCCTTTTGGACCCATTGGACCAAATGGTGGTCTCAATAAAGGACCCGGTGGCCGATGACCGTCATCGAATGGCGGTCGGAAGAATGGCTCCTTCTCTCGGGCATCAAATTGCGGTCCAGGTGGTCCACGTGGTCCAAATGGTGGCCGCATTCCTGGCCTCATACCTCGTGGTCCCATTCCACGTGGATGGAACATTGGCGGACCTACGGAAACAAATGCGAATCAAAATTTCGAAAATTCTTTTTTTAATCCATTCCAAAAAAAAAAATTGAGTTTAAATTTTAATTTTTACATTTGTTTGTATTAAAAGATGAAAATTTTAACCTAAATATTTTGTTTTCAAGCATTCAAAAAGAATTCTAAAATTTTTACTAGCATATAGCAGCCGAAAAACGTTCGGTAAATAAAAAATTTTGATAATTCAAAGTTTAAAAAAAATTTAGACACTTTTATTAAAGTTAAATAATAAAAAAAAAAAAAAACAGTTTCTCGCGTTACGGCAAACAATGTAATCCCTGTAAAATTGTATTTACTCTGAATGTTTAGTTTCACCAATATGACATTCTTCATACTTGATTCTGTAAATCATTAGTTCTTCTTCTTCTTTTTTTTTAGAATATTTAAAGAAGAATCGAAGGTCTTTAATATTTAAAATACGAAAACGATTATTTGTTCGATTCTTCCTTAAATTGTTATTAATTTGGAAACATTTCATACATAATAATAATCAAACTTGGTATTTTTAAATTATTATGACTTTATTATTAATGTACCGAATGTATAAAAATTATAATGTTAATGAGATATAAAAAAAAGAATTCAATTTTTCAAAATTAAGACATGTTTTTCAAACAAAAATTAATACTGTTTTTTTTTAAAGGAAAACAAAATTTGAGAATCATTTACCATGTGGTCCGCGTGGGCCAATTCCAGGACCTCTTGGTCCAAATCCATCAGGTCCCATAGGAGGACCTCGTGGACCTCTTGGTCCCATCATAGGTGGTGGTCCAAAACCGGGTTCCATTGGTCCATGGAAGAAATCACCACCTCCTCCTCCACCTCTTCTCCTATGATCAAAATCGGGATGTTCATTTATATTCCTCCCGTCAAATCCTTCCTGCATTCTTGGATCAAAACCATCACGTTGACGCATCTCAAATTCAAAACGTTCACGTTCAAAATCATCAACCGGATGTCGTCCCCTCATATCCGGCCTTTCGAATTCATCACGTGGTGGTCCCAATCTAAGATCAAAATCTTCCTGCCTCGGTCCTATTCTATTTTCAAAGTCCTCTGGAAATCTTCCGCCGTGCATTCGGGCATCAGGAAATTCTTCATGTCCACGCATTGGAGGTCCAATTGAACCTCTACGGCCAAAGTTTGCTCGATCACGATCACCGGGACCACCACGTGGTGGGAAATCACGTGACAATTCCGATGGAGCGTCTGGTCCTCGTGGATGACCACGAAATTCAGGTCCACGTAGAGGAAATTCAGGTCTATCTTGTGGGAATTTTGGCAAATCCATTAGAGCCGGTGGTAAATCATTTGCACGACGAACAGGCGGTGGAACATCAATTCTCTCACTACTACGATTACGATTTCTATCCATACGATCGTCAAGTGGTAAAGTACCATCGGCCAATTGACGTAAACGATCGGCTAAACTTGGTTTCGCATCCTTTTTATTAGACGTTTCATTATTCACGCCACTTTGTTGCGATGGTGTATTTGCATTCTCCTGATGTCGATCGCGACTATCACGATTGTCACGATCACGTCTCTCGTCACGATCTTTCTCACGATTATCACGTCTTCGATCACGACCTCGATCTCTTCCACGGCCACGATCTCTGCCACGATCATGTCTATCACTTTCACTACGATCACGAGGACCTCTATCTCGATCATCACGATCTCTTCTGTCACCGCGATTATCGCGATCACGTTCCCTATCACGAAAATCACGATGAGAATCATTATCCAATCGACTGTCGGGTCCTTTTCCAATTGCAGCAAGTAATTGATCGCTGAGACTTTGTTGTTTTTCTTTGGGTGGATTATTTGTACTCGGTGGCATTACATCTTCCATTTCAACATCCATATCCTCGGAGTGTTGTTGCTGTTGTTGTTGATGCTGCTGTTGTTGTTGATGATGATGGTGATGATGATGAGCTAAGTGCATTTGCATTTGAGGTCCAACACCAAAAGGTTGACGCATCATTGGCAAACTGGGTAAATTTGATTCTGATGTGGGTGGTGGAACTCCAAGCGGTGGAACATTTGGCGGCATACCTGTAATTTTCAAGAAAAAATTTATAAAACAATAATTTTCAAATAAAAAGAAGTAAAAAAAAAAAATACACACCAGTTGAATTTGGTTTATCGGAAGGAGCCGCTGGGGCAGGCAGTGGAATTTGAGTGAGAAGGCTAACTCCAACTCCGGCACCAAAAGGCGTCTGAGATGGCATCATTGGCTGCATCATACCCGGTGGACCAAGAAGTCCCTGCATATTTGGTGGTGGAACTCCAATTGGAACATTTGGCATTAATCCATGTGGCATTTGCAAGCCCATTGGTCCTAACATACCTGCAATTTATTCATTTAAATTTAATTACATTTTCTCAAATAAATAAAAAATATTTGCGTATTTTTTTTTTATATTTAAAAACTTACGTGGAACATTTGACATAGGAAATCCCGGTGGCATCATTTGTAATTGAGGATTTGGAGGCGGTGGCGGTAGCAAAGGTGCAGAAGTTGGAGGCCTTATTGGAGGCGGTTGACTAGTATCCAATATTTGTTGAGGTGCTTGATTTTCATTTGATTGTGACATTACATTGCCAACTGATTCAGGCAATTGTATTCCACCTGGAGGTAAATTATGTTGCATTTGTTGTAATTGTTGACGTACACCCTCTGAGTTAATTGCGTGTTTCAATTTACCTGTAAAAATAAAATTCAAATGTAATTTTATTAGAAAATTAAAATCTTCTCTCAAATATTTTATATTGAAAAAATTTGTTTTGATTGTTTGACCAAGCTGGAGTAAATTTCTCACAATTGGATCAATATATCAAAATTTCATCTAGCAAGTTGGTTCCTTGTTACGGTTATTAATAAATTTCCACACGTAACTAGATTTAAACTTGCAAAATAAAATAAAAAATACAGTAATTTCGAACCTTTCAATCTCATTGGTAACGTGTCTTCATCAATCATTCCTCCTTCCTCCAAAAGTTCGAGTTCATGTTCAGAAATATTATTCAATTTATTCCAAGGAATATAACTCACTCCCAATTCAACTTCCCAATAATCCTTCCATTCCTTGCCCTTGACTCCTTTGCCCGGAGCCCATGCAAGCTGTTAAAATAATTCAAATATTTTTGTTTAAAATTGTAAAATAATATAATTAATTACAATAATAATTTTTATCAATAATTTTTTTTATATCTTACCGTAATTGCTTTTCCCTGCATTTTTTGATTTTTAAGTTTTGTTAGTGCACGATAAGCATCCTGTCTTCGATTCATACAAATGAAAGCACAACCTCGCGGGGAAATTAAATCAATACTAACAATGTCTCCTAATTCTCCAAAGGTGTCGGATAATTCTTCTTGATGTACTAATTTCGATAAGTGACCAACCCAAAGAGTTGTACTGCAAACTAAAAAGCGGGATTTTTAAAATGTTTTATTGAAATGAAAATAAAAATAATTAATTTATGTCAATTAAATAAAACATATTAATAATATTTCATAATCATAAAAATATGAATAAAATTTTAAACATACCACTGAGTTTCTCTCGTACAATTGGAGGAAGTCCTCGCTTTCTGCGTTCCCGTTCTTTTTCTCTTTCTTCTTCGGTTAATTTCTCGCGGCTATCGTCTCGTTTTCTATTACGATCTCTTGAACGTGATCTGTAAAATAAAAAATTGTAAATCATTTCGTTATGAAATTACAAGTTAAAAAAAAAACTGAAATAAAAATGACTGTTTACCTTCCTCGTCTCGACCTTGACCTTGATCGAGACTTTCTGTCACGATCTCTGTCCCGTCTGTCTCTATCTCTATGTCGAGGGGATCGTGATCGACTATGACGACGATAACGTTCCGGTGATCTACTTTGGGATCTCGCTGGTTCATTGACTATCTCCACACTGCTACTGTCTCGCCTCTCAGTGATGCTCCTACTAATTCAACAATTACGATAAATAAATTTTATACTTTTTCTAAATAAATTATTAAAATTTCATTTAATATTTAGATACTATTAAGTTCATTTAATATCACTAGCTTTTAAAATCCTATTTTAATTATGAAATATAATCCAATGATTAATTAAACAAAAATATTAAGAGAAATAGAAAAATTAACCTTTCGTCAATAAGAGGACTTTGTGATGGAGGTGGTGGACCTTGTGTCATTGTTCTAATTAAAGGTGGCGGTTGTGATGTAAAAGGCAAAGCTGGTGGATAACCAGGAGGCGGTTGACTCATGTCCTGTTGAATCATTCCAGAATTAGAATTGCCAGGAAACATCCCTTGATTTGGTTTCAAAACGTCGGAAGGCTTCAATTCACACTCCGAAGCAAACGGAAGATTCTAAAACGATTCGTTTAAATAAAAAAAAAAATAATAATAATAAATACAATAAAATAAAAATTGTAATTGTAATTAAAACTCACTGGTACAGTTTGAGCAAGATGTTTATCGAATTCCTCTTCCTGTTGTTTCATTTGTTGCAATTTACGCATTTTTTCCTCCATCTCCTGTTGCGATTGACCAGTTTGCATAGTTTGTTGAAGTGTTTGTAATTGCCTTAAAACTTCGGGATTCGTCAACAATAGGCCTAAACTCTCGAGACTTCCTGTCGTTGACACGGCATTATGTTGATTTACACTTGGATTAATAACCGGTGAACTACTCGTGACAACAACATCATCATCTTCTTCCTCGCCATAATCAAAATCAAGAAGTTTCTTATCGAATTTCACCGAACTCTGAGCCTCATTTGCCGCCTCTTGCTTCTTTAATAGCAATTGTTGTAAATATTGAAATTGATCTAAAATATTCACAACAACCTGATTCGAACCAGATTGTCCCTAAAAAATAATTACTATATTAAATAATGAATATATGAAAAAAAAATTAAGTGTACAAAATTAAAATCACAATAACAATAAAAAAGAAATTAAAATAATAAGCAATAAAAAGAGCGGACAAAAATTTATACAAAAAAGGCATAAATAATTATAAGCAGTAAAATGCAATAAAAAGAGCAAACAAAATATTTATAAATAAGCAATAGGCATAAATATAAATAAGCAGTAAAAACAACATAATACAATAAAAATTAAAAGCAAAAAAACCGTACCAAAACACAAAATCTAAGATTCTGTCGAAACACCTGAACTTTTTTTTTGAAAGTTGAAAGTAATTCGAGAGAAATAACAAACATAAAAACTAACCAAAAGTTTATGTGCGTTTACCATATTGGCTGTTTCCATTTTTGTTTGAGCCAACCAGGCTGGATCAATGGTTTTTGCGTTTGCAAACATTTTTGGATCTTTCGATGCGTTTTTCATTGTTGGCGATGCTTTAGCATTTGCGTTAGCTGCATTCACTCCTAAAAAATTTGTTAATATAATGTACTTATTATTTTCACATTTCAAATATTTTTCTTTAAACATATTAAAAGCTAGGATTGTTTTTTTTTTAATTTTTAAAATAAAAAAAAAATATATACCATTCGTACTGATCGATTGTTCCTTGTGAATTGGATGATTTGGATCAACAAGATCGAAAAGAGGTTGAATAACTTCCGGTGGAAAGACAGCATTCTTTTGCCAGAGATTTAAGACACGAATGACTTTACTCTTGTCCTCAGCAGGACATTTGAGCAAATTTAAGAATGTCATTTGCATATTCTTTGCAAATCTTGGTGCAAAAACATCTTTTTCCACTCCAAATTGATGTCTCGATTGTCGAACAATTGAATCAATGACATAAAGACCCGGAACTTTATACTCGGGTTTACACTGGAAATAAAAATAAATTGTTTAATTTCAAAACAAACAATTGATATTTTTTCTCTTTTTAGTAACACATTTTTTTTTTCTTATTAATTAAACTTACTTTTTGTATGAATTTTTCCACGCTCTGAACAACATGTTTATAAAACTTAATGGCCTTGATTGCACCTCTTGTAAGTGAATTCATTTTGGCTTTTGATATCGGTGGCTTGACATCGTACAGAGCAGAAAGCTGAAAATAAAAAGTATTTTTTAAATACAGTCATAAATAATTGTTTCTTGTATTTAATTTCAAAATTTGTTTAAAATATTCTTTCTCAGGTGAGATAGAATTTTAAATTTTGGAATTTCCCTCCAAGCGATTAAAATATAGCATTTTTTTCCAAGCATAAAGTGCAAACTGATATGGCTGATCATATCAAATTGATGGGCAAGTCCATAAATTGTAAATTAATCATGTTTACACTGTAAAATTAATCAATTTTGCGAAGAAAATTGACGAAGCAATGTAATTAAATGTCTATAAATTGAAATGAAAAGTATAAAATTGAATAATTCCAAGTATTTTTAATGAAATCGCATGCGGCGTCAGTTGAAAGCTCTGATAACACAGAGGTATGAAATTTTATGTTAGGATTATAATTTTAGTTAACTGTTTTGTTTAAATTGTTGGGAATGCAAATAAAATGTGATGCTTTGAACATGAAGAAAATGCACCGGACGTGGATAATTGTGGAGATGTTTTGCTAATCGGCCCTGATAAAAGGGAGGGTTGCCCTTTCAGCGATGACCTCCAACAGGAAGAACGAATTCTTACCTCTGCATTGAATGCTTTTACCGCATCCATCTTTATTGAATTGTGCGACACGCACTATCACTATTTATCTAAATATTTCCATACGTAGCAGCTCACTCGTTTTTAAGAAATATAATCTTTTTTTACTATCGCGCACTTCGTTAACAGAGCCATGCCATTCAAGATGGCAACTGCTTTGACCAGAATGCACTGCTTCATACGACGTCAGTTTTGCTCTCAATCGGTAAAAACTGAGCTACAACTTCCGATATTACCGACAGTAAAATCACCTGTTTGTGCTTGTTTCCGGTTTTCCGTTATTTGTTTATATATTTATTATCATTCAAAGTTGTTTATATTTTAATAGTGTTGCAAGATTATCAATATTTTAAAAACAAAAAGTGAAAGCTAAAAACAATATGTCTTTACTAAAAAAGAAATTTGATGACTTTGGTTTTAAAAATAAACAAGATGATACAGAATGGAAAAAAGATTTGTCATCAAAACAAAATATTTTATATGGTGATTCACCATACATACCTATTTTAATTGAAAATATTCCGAATTATGTTCAATTAGATGACTTTGAATTTGATAGAATAAAAGAAGTGCAAACTGTTGGAATAATTTACGGAAATACATGGCAAGAAGCTCTCATTTATAATTGTAATAAAGATAATATTATTTCAATACAATTGAAGTTTACATGCTGTAGACGTGAAGTACTGCAAAAGAGTGGTTACACACCGGTATGTTGAATTTTAATTTCAATTATTGTAATTCTTAAAAAAATGTTTCTGACAATAGTTTTTATCTTAATTACAGGGTGTTAAAATACCATGCAAATTGTTTGGCAGATTAATTAATTTTGAAGGAAAACCTCAATTAGAAATTCATCATTTTCTTAAATTAATTGATCTAGAGGGATCTCTACAAACAACGAAAATTCTTTCACAATTAGTGAGACAAAAGTATAATTATTATGCGAGTGTAAACAGTTCTTAATTTTTAATAACTAATGTAAGTGATAAAATTAATAATAATAAATATTTTTGTATATTAAATTAAATTATTTTCAATAGGTTTAAATTTACCGCTCTTTATAAGTTAGTCCATAAATGGCGTTACCATCGAATTTTATTAGCCAATCAAAATCATTCTTTATTAAAATGACAATTGGAACTTTTAAAATTGTTTTTTTTTATAAATAAATAATAGTATGTTGTTGTTTTTAGTTGTTTAAAACAAATAAATTAATTAAAAATGAAATTTTACATTATTTAGAAAAGTTTTGTTTGATAAAATCATTAGAAAAATTATTTTTAAATCATGATTCTACTGAGGTTTCAAGAAAGCGTCAAGCGCAAAGCTTTGTGTTGAAATTGCTGCAGATTTGCAGCTTTTTTCGTTTATATTTAGTCGTGTATTGAGTTCAAAGTGATAGCAAGTTTATTACGAAATTTTTTAGTTATTGCGTGTATTTAAATAATACGCGAAAAATACATAAATGCTCCGTAGTGGTGATAAATGTAATAAAAGCCGAGCCATATAGTCCAATGACTAGTCGTGATTTTTAGGTAGTTGATGTAAAAGACGCTTTCATTGAATGTTTTAAAATAATTAATTCTTTGTTTTTTTATTGGATATTACTAATTTTGTTAATTAGAAAGAAGAATTTTGTTTTCTATGAAAACAATTTGCACCTCTTTGCAAGTTAAAGGGTAAGAGTGGACATTGATATTCTATTTCCCTTTCCGGTGGGTGTGTGTATGTATTAATTAGGAAGCTCTTTGTCAATTAAGAGAATAGTTTTTTTCATCTATTTTTTAAAAATTCTGTACTTTACATTTTTAAGTGCGCGCATTTCATGGATATTCAATAATCATTTGTCCTTGCTTTCCCCCCTCTTTCTTTTTTTTCACGATTCAGACGTGTGTGGTTCATTCGCGGTCAGCTGATTATTCTGAAATTATTAATTTTCTTTTATAGAATATATTCATCTTTACGTTTTACGATTGAAGTCACGAGTTTTATAAGGATTATATACTGTTAAAAAACAAGCTTATGACTGGCGTGAAATAATGATGAATATGAAGATGAATTGTTAACCCTAACCTCAATTGTTTCCAAATTCAAGACGGCGCAAAGGGACCAGAGTAGCCGTAACGAAACTGGATATATCACAAATTTATTAAATTCTTTCAATTTGTCTAGTAACGTGCCTGTGAATAATCTGGTAAGTCTGTTTCTTTAAAAATTTTATAATATAAACTCTATTAAGAGCAGAGTATTCAATAAAAAAATCCATAAAATTTAGACAAGTGTCAGCTGTCGATAGGGTTAGACGTTTTTTTCTTTTGGATAATTAAAATGTAATGTATTTTGATAATTTCTTGTTTTATTATTTGAGTTTAAAATGTTGGAAAATTTTGTTTTTGGCACTGAATATTATTTTCAATTATTTAATGAATATCATCATAAATGATAGCGCAATAAATTTGCTGTCATTTTATTTCGTGTAGTTTTAGATATCATTTATTTTAATCGTTTTTTGCAGTATACATTGGAGATTATTTGCGATACACTTCGAAATTGTGTCAAAGTGATAGTTAATAAATATAATAAGACTAGAGAAATTAAAGATTTGAGGTTATAGTTATTTTTTGATGACAAATTTTTTTTTTGTATTTTTTGTTAATAAATGCTAATAATTTGGATTTTTAATTTACAGTCAAGGTGGAGAGAGGAGTCAAGTAGTCAAGAAACTTATAGTGCCAGCAAAAGACTAGGTTTTAGTTGGGGAGGGATGCCTCGCAGTAAGCGAAGAGCGCCCTCCAGTACAAATCATAATTCTAGGGAAATGTCACCTAGTGCTCAGGAAGATGGTATGCCAAGGCATCCTTCGAAAAGACTCAGACATACCTCTAAGTGAGTGATTTTCATCTAATATTATTTGCATTTAATTAAAAACTATCTATTCGGAAAAATATTTCTCAAAGTCCGTTATGATAGTTGAAAACAAAAAATTTACACTTACTATAAAAAAAAACTACAAACTATTTACTAATAGAAATAATTTTATAATATTTTAATGTTTTAATTTTTTTATTTACTTTTTCTCAGTTTAATTTATCTACTTTATTTTTTGTAATCAATTTTTTCCTTGTTTACTTTTCTTGTTTTTTTTTCTATTTTTTATGTTCCGCTTTTTTTATATCCTTTATCTTATAGGAAAATGCACAACCTATAAAAAGATTAATTAACATTAGTTTCAAATAACTGAATATATTTACTTCTATCGAGATTTATTATCAATTTTTTTACATTGATTTTTTACTGTCTTTGATATAAAATTATCATTTGAATTAATTTTTTTACATCGTATAGTATTAATTTTCAAACAATAACTAAATTGAAATTGTAATAAACACAATTTGAAATAATACTTTAGTTAAACAAATTCTTTGTAATTAATATTTTTAAAACATGATTGATTTATTAATTATAATTCAAAAAAAATAGTGAATAATTTAAAAACATTTGTTTAAAACAAAAAAAAAGAATATAAAATAATTATAAAAGAAAGAATTTTAAAAAATTCGTTTACAAACTAAAAAAAATATATTCTAAATAATACGAGTTCCAAAAATAGTTTCAGTTACTGTTATGTATTTCTAAATAACGGAATTTTTTTAACACCGACAATTTGAGCACATCGTATATAAAATAGAAAGTAAAATTTTATTAATTTAATAATTTTAATAAATGATTTGTTTGAAAAGTCTGATTGTGTAATTTTAAGAATGATTTAATTGTAACCTTGACAATAGTAAAGGATCGACTTTATATCTTTTTTCTCTTTTTCCTGTACTCCTACTACCCACACTTAGTCAAGCATTCACACAAGGTAACTCCAAAATAGATTGCTCACAATTTTAGTCTGCCCTTCTCTGGTGCTTGAGTTGGTCTGCATCTCGTGCTTGAATATTAAACATTCGTATTTATAAAGAATTTCTTTCACTCAAAATGATACTAAAATTTTGACACTATCATTTCGCTTATTATTTTTTATTGTTCTTTATAATTTATTAATTTTTTTTTAACGATAATGTTTCATTTTCAAATTTAAACATTAAATTGTGCATAATATTTTAAATTCAACATTGCGAGTGTTATTGTTTAATAAAATATTAATTTTTAAAAATTATAGTAAACTATAAATAAATATTTGTGATTATATTATGTAAATCATCATTGTATATAATATTTAAAATACTAATTTTGCATATTAAATTATAAATATTAAAAATTGTGTTTATTTAAAATTTATAGTTTAAATAATTTTCGACTGGATTTATTTTTAAAGTCCATTTTATTGAATTTAAATTCTCACTTTTAATTTTTTTCGGTTTTATGGTTAATCTTATTGACAGTGCATGGAAAACGAGAGGTTGGTGAAAAATTAAATTCAAATAGAAAAATATTTTAAAAATTTGACTAAATTAGAAGAATTATATATATTTATTATTTGTTTATAATTTATCAAGTTTTGTTTTTAAAAATTTCCAGTGCTAGGCGTTATTCAAAAACAGAAGATGTCACAAGTACGTCATTTTCACAAAAAAAATGCATTGCATGGTTCAGGGAGTATACAACACCAGATGATCCCGATACACTTGGTCCAGATGGAATGGAAAAGTTTTGTGAAGATATTGCCGTAGAACCAGAAAATGTAGTGATGCTGGTTTTAGCGTACAAAATGAATGCTCGTCAAATGGGCTTCTTTACAATGAACGAGTGGCTCAAAGGTCTTTCAGAATTGCAATGTGACTCAATTCATAAAGTACAACACAAACTTGAAAGTCTCAGGAATTTGTTGAATGATCCTCTTACATTCAAGGGGATTTACAGATACGCTTACGATTTTGCTAGGGTAAGTTAAAATTTTTTTAATTCCTTTTTTTCCATGTTCAACAATTTAAAAAGAAATTGTATTTTTATTTAAATATACGAATGAAAAATAAAATGAACTTTTCTTTTAGGATAAGGATCAACGAAGTATGGATATGGAAACAGCAAGAGTAATGTTACAATTACTTTTAGGAAAGCATTGGCCCCTATTTTCTCAATTTGCACAATTTCTTGATCAGTCCAAGTATAAAGTTATCAACAAGGATCAATGGTGTAACATCTTGGAATTTTCGCGGACAATTAATCATGATTTGTCAAATTACGATCTAGACGGGGCTTGTAAGTGAAAAAGAATCTATTTTGAATTTTTATTATTAAATTTTTATTTGTTTTATTTATATCTTTATTTTTTGTATTTTTTTTAAGGGCCTGTGATGCTTGACGAATTTGTCGAGTGGTTGAAGGTTCAAAGAGGAATTGTATCAACGGAAACGCGTATCAGCTGAAACGTCGAATCAAAAATGAAAGGACAATTTTTAAAAAAAATATCCATCAACGCGACAACATTCTTCTTCTTCATCATCTTCTTTATAAACTAATTTTGTTAATTTTGAAATTGTTTCTGGTACCGTCGACAGTTCGTTATCAAATTAATAATTTTGTTTCTGTTTTTTTTTCTTTTTTAAATAATTAGAGCTTACCTTAAGTAGCTTGTGACCTAGATAACTCGTAAATAACTGTGAATGACTGTGTCCAAAGTTTAAGGCTCTGCTGATTTGTAGCTTGACATTTGTGTTTTGTCTGTCGGTAATAAATCCATCAAGTGTTTACGTATATCCACTTTGTATTGTCCACACTTTAATGTTCGTGTCGCGCATTTATCGATGTATATTTTATTATCATTATTATTATAATTATAATCGTCATCATTTTTTTTCCCGCGATGTTGCACGAATTCTAGAAGAATTAGAAAAAAGACTTAGTTATCTTCGTTCTCGGAATTAAAATTATTTCGAGAGAATTTGTAAATAGAAAGTCAATTGAGTGCAACATTTTTTCAAAGATATACATTTTTTTTTTTTATACGTAATTCATTGTTCATTATTGCTTTTCGTACATGCTTTCAATTTAGATTTCATGTACACAGTCATGCACGGTCTTCATTACATTTGTATAACAATAAAAAAAAAACAAAACAAAACAAAAAAAGCAAAAGTCGATTTGATACAATAATATCATTGACATGAAACACAATCAAAGGTTTTAGTGCAAGAAATGCAAGCTCAATTCTTGTATCTCGAAATGTATTTCAAGAGCACAGGCCTGTTCAATAACTAGAAACTTACAGTTAGGTAAATTATATAGTGTAATACTCTTTTTTGAAAAAGAGCGTCAGTTTTCGTTTTATTATTGATCTGTATAGTAACTACGATGTGATAATGAATTAGGAAATCTTCGGAAGACCTTTTTTTTCTTTCGTTCTTTTTTTTTGATGAAAATTGAACAGTTTGAATTTTTATCAGTTTTTGTTATACTTTGTGTAGAGAAAGAAAATTTTTTTGTGAAAAAAAAACCAGATGAATATTATATAACTGTAAGAAAGAAAAGAGAAACATTGCGGTTCCAATTTCGAATAGGTCCTTTATTTTTGTTTTCGAAATTCGAAATTTTATTGTAGAACACTTGGAAGAAAATACAGCGGAACTGATTTCAATTATTTGGCTTGTCAATTAGTTCCTGTTTTATTTTTAATTTAATTTAATTTTAGGTATCTAATGACAATTCATTTTTGTGTAGTTTTATGAAAATGTGCATGTAAGTAACAATTGTTTTTTAAACAAATATATTTTCATTTTAATTATACTCTTGTGAGGTCTTGAATTAATTTTTTTTTTTTTTATAAGAATCATTTCTCTTTTGATATTTCCAGGACGTGTGAATTTTAATTTAATTTCAGACGTCACTTTCCTAAAAATTCAGTTCATTATGATTCACGATATGATCTTATTTTTTTTTAACTCTAATATATATTCATGTTCATATTTGCTATGTACATATCTTTTTATTTCAATTGAAGAGATTAGAATTTTCAATAATATGTAATTTAAAAATAGATAAGCATAATTATACAATAGGTAAAGATAATTAATATTACTATATAAAATAGATAATTAGTATTAATATATAAAAATAGATATTATTTTCTAAAGTAAATAATAATAATTGATATTACCGTAACTAAAGAAATATGGATATTAAAAATTTTATTTCCCAAAATAAAAGAAAGAATTATTATTTGGGAATAAAATGCATGGGAATCCCTTCAAATGGTAATAAAGTGGCACTCCAAATTTCTTTCATTTCTTCTGGTTTTCGTACACTTTTAACACGATATTTTCTCAAAAGTGAAGAAAGAACAAATCTCAATTCCACCCAGGCTAAATTTTGACCAAGACAATTCCTTGGACCTGCACTAAATGGAATGAATGCATAAGGATGCCTGTCTTGTAAATTTTCCGGTAGAAAACGATCAGGATCAAATTTAAATGGATCTGGCCAAACTTCCGGATCTCGATGCATTACTATTATTTGTAAATGAACCACTGTTCCTTTTGGAACTTGATATCCACCTGAAAGAATAAGAATTTTATTATAAATTAATAGAAACATATGAATTTAATTTAAAAAAAATTAAATTATTTAGATTAAAATTAATATTATTATATTACCTAATTCAATATCTTCAGTTAAGCGTCTAGCAACAGTGGGACCTGGAGGATGTATGCGAAAACTTTCCTTAATAACACGATCAAGATATTTCAATTCCAGGACTTGATTCATTGTTGCTGGTTCTTTTGAATTTCCAAAAATATCATCTAATTCCTGGTGGACTATTTCTTGAATTTCAGGTTCATTACCCAGATGAAACATGACCCAACCAATTCCAGCAGCCACTGTATCATAGCCCTATAAGATAAATTTAATTTAAGTTTTTATTTTTATAAATTAAATTTTAGAAATTTTTTAAATACTTACATTTTGAATACAGAACGGTATTATGATTAAAATCAAAATATAAAATTAATAACTTATTAAAATTCTACTTACACCAAACAAAAATGTATTTACTTCCTCTACCAATTCAGTTTCGTTCAAAAAATTCTTATCTTTTTCTTGTATATCCAAAATAAGATCCAAAAACGGTTTTTTATCTCGTTTTTCTGAAAAATTTCATTCACATAAAACTAACATTTAGATGAATTTAAAAAAAATATATTTTTTTTTAGTTACCAAAGTCATCGGGATCATTAGTTTCTACAATCTTTTTAACCTCAAGTCTTCGAGCTTCCCTTTTCTTTTTAATTAACTGTAAAATAAATTATTATAATCAAAATAAATTTAAAAAACAAATTATTAAAATAATTATAATATTAGTTAATTTAATTACCTGAGACGTAAATGTATTTATAGTTTTCGCAGCTAATTTCAAATCATCGCCAAGTTTTGTTTTGAAAAATATAGGATCCCATTGTAGCCAGGGTGTATTTATTCTTTTAATTAATATTTCACCAGCTCTAAAAAATTGTATTTTGAAAATTTTCTTATAATAATTAGGATTTTAAATAAATACCTGTGAGCTGAATCTGAATATCCATCGCAGGCATAATTTTTCTGAACATCTAGATTTATACCCATTATTGTTTCTAAAGTATAAAACAAAAATTAATTTCAAATAATTATTAAATAAAATTGATTTATCAAAAACTTTGATAACACAACAATAATTTTCAAAAATTTGATAGTAAAATAAGTACCGCAAATAGTGTCAAATGAAAATCTAATAGCGAGTGTTGCAAAATCCATTGGTTTCTTTGGATCAACTTTAAGATTTTCTTCAATCACTTGTTCCAGAATTTTTGTTTTTCTTAAGACAATATTTGTAAAACCATTCAAAATTTCAAAATGAAAAGATGGACTGATAATTTTTCTTTTTTGTACCCATTTGTCTCCTAGAAATTATTATATATTTAATATCAATCTTTTTTCATCAGAAAAATTAAAAATCGTTTTTTATAAATATATATAGAACAAACCTGTTGATGTTAACATTCCTTCACCAAACCAAGGATCAAGAAATTCATAAAGTTTAGCTTTTGTTATAAGTTTATTACTCGACAAAATTACCTTAAAATTGTAAAATATTAATTATTATTAGAAATTATTATAAACTATGCTTTTTAAATTTAAAAAAATAGTAAAATAATCAGATGAAAATAATACTTTTACCTCCAATAATTCAGGCTTAAAGATGTTTACAACTACATCATCAAAAGCTTCGCTAGTTCTGAAAATACCCTTTTTGTATTTTTGACATAATTCATAGAATCCAGCGAATCGATCTGTGAACAATAAATTAATTAATTAATAACAAATAAAACAATAAAAAATATTATTAATAACAATTTAGAAAATATTAAAATACTACAAATAAATGATACCTTCTTTTGTAACTCGAAGAAATGCAAATGGTAATGCAAAAATTGAGAGAGGATATGAAACTGGTCCTGGAATTTTATTCACGATAATGCAATAATTAATAAAATGATACAATCTTATTAAAAGTTTGCATACAAGTAAAAAAATTACAAAACGAAAAAGTGCAATAAAGACACTCATTTTTTTTCTCGTTTTATTCACAAAACTTCTTTTTCGCAGTTTATATTGTAATTTTACATTACTTCAAATGAAAATGAACATTTTGAAGAACAAAAAATTATAATTTGAAAAGAACAATATTTTTAGCATTGTCATTTGAAAAGATAATAAAAATTTTCATAATATATTCAAGAATACATTTTCGAGATTAGATTATTATTAAACATTAAATGAAATTTAACTAAAATAAGAACAATTTTATTAATATATTTGTTTTTTATCACACTTAATATAATTATTTAATTATTAATTAAGATAATTAATAGAAAACTGAAGAAATATGTTATACTTGCATTTACAAAAAAAAATTAGCAATGATTTTCGTAAGATTGATTAAACATTTTTGAGCTTAGAGAATTTTTTATTAGACAATGAATATTTACTGACATTTAAAAAGTTGATAATGGTATTTTCATTATTTATTCAAGAATATATTACGTAAAATCGAATTTTAAAAAGTTGAAGAATTAAAATAAAATAGATTTTTAAGTATAAATAATAAAAACTGATTTTTTATACTTTATTACTTTTCGAAAGTAGAGAAAATTAATGTCATCACAATTCTTAATTACTTATTTTTATGTTATGATGAAATTTATTAGTTTTTAATATTTCTTATTATTTATTTGTTATTATTACTCATTTTATATATTTTTAAATTAATAATAACTTTATACTACCTAAATCCAGACATTGTATATAACCTTTACGACGTTTACGACAGTAGGTTATATTTCACTTCTGTTGCTTATGTTAAATATTGTATATTAATTGTTATTGTTTTATTTAATGAAGAATTTAATTTGACGGCATGATTATATTATTTTTGAACCTAAATATTAAATTATTCTAATTGCACTATTTTTTAGTTTTGAAGAAATATGTAAACAAACAAACGTATGGCTTGAAGTTCACTACAAATCAAATTGAGTACCAAATTCAAAACAAGATTAATTTTTTTTAGATTGCAAACTTGTTATCAGCAAATTTCATACTATTATCACACTTCCGGTTCCGAATACAAGAAGCAGAAGATTCTTTTCTTCAGTGTTTATGTTTCTTGTGATGTGTTGTAATGTTTTCTTTTTTATATCTCCATAACTGTGTATAACTATTTACATCTGTGACAAATTGAAAAGAGAAATATTATTCTTGTAAAAAAAAAAATGAGTAAAACGGGAAAAGAAGAAATAAAAGAATATGGATGGAGCGATAAATTGTTAAAAGATATAGCAGGAAGAACTAAATTTCCAAAAGAAGTCTTTAAAATAGATGAAATAAAACCGATAATATCCCGATTCTTTCATTTTTACTTTTTTGGTGAAGTATCTTCTGATTGTACGATACCATGCACTATTTATTCAGCAATTGCTTTGCTGAATGTTCCATATTCGAATGGCTATTCACACGTATTCGCAGGAAAACATTTTAAAGCGCTTGATAATGAAACACCATTTTTTGATGCACATGTACATACCGAAAGGAAATATTTTGAAAAATCTAATAATATACCACAGGTAGTGAAATTATTAAATATAAATAATTTAAATTAAAATTAACATTTACATTAATTATAATAAAATTATTTGTTATAGGAGTCATTTCAATATGAAATTTATAAAATTTTATTCTTTTGGAATATGTCTTCAATTAATGAACAAGCAACATTAATGAGATTAACTGCTTTTTTGGCATTAAAATTCTGCGCAGTCGTTTCGAAAAATAAATCTCAAATGATATTATATTTCTCATCACATCCTAATTTAAGAAAAACACTTTGCAATTTAGTTGGTTGGGAGATGAATCGTCATTACTCAGAACCAAATTCTGATGCAATTTACAAATTTATAGATATTTTAACCAACGATAAAAATAGTCGTTTATCAATAAGATCGCTCTTTGCAATTGTTGTTAAAGAATGGATAAATATTGTTCGAATTGATTCAAAACCAAATAGAATTGCATCACTTTTAATGGAGTCATTGTTAGAGGAAACAGCTGGTAATGGAATTGGATTAATATCTCTAATAACATCAGTAATTTTTAACATGAATGTAACTTACTCACAAGTTTTAGATGCATTAAAGTCAGAACATGAAAAATTTAATCAATATGAAGATTCTTATAAAAGACTCGTAGAGTTTCAAAAGAAATTTGTCGATATTGAGAATCCTGAACTTAGCTATCCCTGGGGTCGTTTAATAAAACCTACTTATTTAAGTCAATATTCTGCGCCGAATAATCTATTTATTTGTGGTATTTTTGCTTCAATTAATCAAATTTATGAAGGACCAAGAGTGTGGAATGCACAGTGGTCGAAAAAGTATGTTTTTAACTTTAAAGAAGCAAAAGAAATAGGAAAAAAAATTCATGATCGTTTATTGAAATTCAAAAATTGTGAAAATTAAATAAAATTTGCTTTTTTATCACTTAGTAATAAATTTTCACAATTTACAAATTTATATTTTTGAAATTTGTTAATTGCAAACACAATATTGTTTACATAATTAAGTTGAAGTTGATGTTTTTCTAAACTTTTTTGAAAAGCCGAAAAATCATATTTGTTACAAATATTAATATATTACACTAAAACGTTAAATCACCTGATTTTGTTCATTAAGAAAAAATTAAAAAAAAAAAAAAAAAAGAAACGAAATATTGATAAACTAGTTTGAAACTAGTTGAAATGCGCACTAAATTTCTATTTCATTTTCGATTGTTTGTCTCGTGCTTAATTTCGTATTATTGTAAAATTTGCAATTTTTAATTGCAAAATGATGTTTATTTTGATAATCTTATTTGTTTAAAACTCAATAAAAGTTTACTGAATCAATAAATTTGATTTTTTTTATTATTATAAAACAAATGAAAAATTGTACGAATTGGTAACACTGTGTCACATGACTTATATAGATGGCGTTCCTACTTCCGTATTTTTAAATTTGTAATTCTATATGAATTGGTAAATTTTTTTAATTTAACTAACATTGAAAATTGTAGAGATGAAAATTAATACACTTTTTTTAAAAAACATTTCCAATTAATTTTATTTATTAAAGTATAAAAACAATCGAGTAGTAAAACTTTCTTAATTTAAACATTATCACCGGTAAATATATGTAATATTTTACGAAATTAAATCAATTACATTATTAAAAAAAAAAAAAAACAATAAATAATATAAATTCCCATGGAGGCACGTAAATTTACAGCCAATTGAATCTATTTATTTTTGCACAGGATGATGCTCCAAATACTTAATTTTTACATTATTATAATAAACAATATAATTCATCATTATTTTTCCATTTTTACAATGCATTTCTTGAAGAATTAGAAATAAAAATTTTTAATTTAATAGTTTTTTTAGAAAACAAAATTTGTTTCAGAAAATCATCCTGTACTTGCATTTAATAAGCATTTAATTTGTTAATATCAGTGTTGGGTCAGTTACTATTTTTTAAGTAACTTTGTTAATGTTTTAACATAGCTTCGCAATATTTTTTATAAAAATCGTTACAGTTGTTGATATTTCAGTAACTCGTTACAATTGTTGATTTTTAAACATTAATATAAATTTTTTATAAAAAAAAGTAACATCAATTACCTTACAAGTTAAAATATAAAATTAATAAAAAAAATGTTTAATAATTAAAATTGTAATTTTTTAACTAAAATATTTCAATACATACGTATATGTAATAGAATTTCTATATAATTTTTGAGAAAACAATTTTTAAAAAATTATTTTTCTTAATATTATAATGGAAACACAACAATATATTTCTTTTTTTTGAAAAACTTTAACAACTTTTTGTTCCATTCACTAAACATAATTTTTTTCTAAAACAATTATTTTAATAACGAAGTTACAACAACTGACTACCCAACACTGGTTTAATAAATAAAAAAAAAATAAATAAAAAAAATGAATATTTCGATTCTCATCAACTGGAAAAACCAGGATTCGTGTGTTCGATAACACATCGTCGACAATATTGTTTCACTGCTCGATAACCAACCCACGTGACTCGTGGGCATTCGCCAATATTAAGTTGTTGAAGACCACGAACATAATAAGCAAGTGCCTCGAGGCCCGAATCCGTGATTCGTTCGCATCCACATAGCGAAAGTTTCTTTAAATTTGGACATCCAGTTGACAATGCTTCGAGTGTTGCATCACCAATGTCACATTTTCCTAAATCCAATGCACGAATTCTTGGACATCCACGTGCCAATGCAACAGTTGCACTATCGCTTAATGCCTCACAACCACGTGCATTTAAATATCTCAGCTTATAACAATGTCGAGCAACAACCAATAGTCCCGCATCTGATACTTGATCACATTTGCCAACAGAGAAATAACGTAAAGATGGTCCCAAACACGCAGCCAATTCTCTAACACCAAAATCCGTAATTCTCGTACAATCAGATACAGACAATTGTCTCATACCACTGCAATAAGAGGCAATTGCAATTAAACTCGTGTCCGTAATACGAAAACATCGACGAAGATATAAACAATTGAGATGTGGCATTCGTGCAAGACTCGACACCAATCCAGAATCATCAATCTCATGACAATCGCTCAAATCAATTGTCTGTAATTGTAAAACAGCAACTCTCGTACAAACTTTCGTTATACGAGAACAATCAGTCATATCCAATTCTTTTAAATGAATACAATTATCAAGAATTGTCGTAACATTTAAATCAGTGACACGTTTTGAATGTCGCAATGATAACGATGTTAAACTACTAAATGGAAGTGAATTAAAAATTCCATAAATACCCGTTGCACCATCCAAAACAAGTCGACGTATCGATGTATACAAACCACGTCTTGCCAATGTATTCAATGCAATTGTTGCATTTTGTGGATGACGAATTTCCACCTCTTTCCATAATGATGGATGCCACGCTATTTCCCAAAGACGTCGGCATGTTTGTGCAAGTGAACAACGTTCACGTGTCGATAACCAACTGAATATTTTCAACAATAAAGTATCATCCAAATCGCATAATCCAAAAACATAAAGATGTCTCTGTTGGAATAATTGTTTTCTTACTGGTAATGCAACCGATGGCGATGATGATAATCGACAAACATTATTGTCAAGTGTATGATAACCAAGATCTACGGTGTCTGGATTCGGTCGAAAAAGTGCCAATTTCTGCGAATGATGACTTCCATCACGACTTGATGATATACTTTGATCCCCATACCGATGGTAGAGTGGACTCGATCCGTCCATTCCATCGTCTTTTCTGTAAATTTAAATAAAAATCAATTATTTGAAAAACAAAACTTTTATAAATAAAAATTAATTCAAGAATAACCAAGATTTAAAATTTTAAAAATTTCCAATTAAAATAAAAACAACCTATATAGGAATAAAATTGTTAAACAAAATTCTGCCTGGAGAACAAAAAAAAAAAAAAATGATTGGAATTTGTTTCACAGTTACTGTTAATGGACCTAACGAAGTAGTCTCACAAAAATTTTAAATCCCTTTGAAAGTACACATATTTGGATTGTATCTGTCAAAAACATATAGGTGTGTCTGGAATTCCTACCTGGATTACGATGACGCAATGAGGAATCAACGACCCTGCGCAACATCAACGAGTTTTGTCGCCATTTTTATCCACTAACTTCTTGATTCAACATCGATATCGATCAAATTGGAAAATTAATACCTTTCTTTTCGAATATCACAAATCACACTGTCAACAATAATAATAGCCTTGATCTGTTTAATAATTATTTATAACACAACGAACTCTCTTTTAAATCCCATTTTTTATTAAAACAAAAATTAAAAACATGTCAATGTGAACTGTCGTCGTCGTAAGTAACTCACTTAGTTGTAATTTATTTCTGTAGAGGGCAGAAAGTTGTAAACATCTGTGGGTTATGTAGCTTTCTAACTTTTCTAGATATTTATTAAAACAATTTCATATTCAAAGAAATATTTTCTTCTGCGAAAATGACAACAAAAAGATAAATAAAAAATAACTAATTTCTGTGTTTTAACAACATTCATATATATATATTTTTTTTCGAACACTCTATACATAACCTAAAAGTAAAAAATTATCCTCATTCAGCCAAGCAATCCCGAGGTGTGATGGCGTCCGACGCGCACAGGACAAATGGATGTTGTTGTGTTTTTAAATGAAAATTGCCGAAGATTTATGAAATTCTGATCAAATGAAGATGAAACGATCGAAAATTGAAATAATCAATGCGACTGTTGAATCGTATTTGAAGCGACGAAGATATCAGGTATGTTGTCTTATAATGAAAATTTTAGTTACATTGGTCCACATTGAAAGCAATCACAGAGTGACCTAACCTTCAAAAATGTTTACTAATAATCTCTACAGGATAGTGACGTATTCCGAAAACCTGAGAGAACTGGTTCCAGAAGTAGTGAGGAAATGACATTAAATGTCTCGGCCGAATGTGGGACATCCCGTGATAATTCCATCATCTTCAGTGCAATTATTAATGATCCTGTAGCCGCTGATCAGGCCTATCAAAAGTAAGCATGTCCTAGTCCTTTACACGAACATCATTAATTTTCTTTTTAATTTTCTATAATTTTTTACTTTAAAAAAAACTGTTATCATTTTTTTCAATTAGAGTATTTATTTGACATTTCTTACAAATAATAAATTAAAAATAAACTATTCTCAACGAGATTATAGTCCAGTAATGAATTTGTGATTTTATTACTTAGAATTTTATTTCTCACAATGGATATAATTATAATTTTTTTTGATATTATAAAAGGTATGAAACGTAAATTTCAAAATGGTACGTTTGATACAATAAAAATTGGAACGATTAGCAAAAAATTGTAAATGACTTTTGTTTATAATTTACAGAACATATTATGTTAAATAATATTTATAATTTTATTTCTAGATTAAAAAATTGGATTAATGGCGTTGTAAGTGATAAATTAAGAAACGAATTACGTGAACTTCTTTATCCAGTATTTTGTCATTTTTATTTGGAAATGCTTCATGCTGGAAATAGTCAATTAGCTATTCAATTTTTAAAAACACATCAAATTGATTTCACCACAAGAACTGAAAAAGATTTTTTAGATGAATTATCAAATGTTTCGTCAATACAAGATATTGAAATACGACCTTTAGTGCATGCATTTAGAACGAGAAAATATAAAGTTGATTTGTCCGATGATGCTCATATTTGTCTTCAAAGATTTTTATCTAAATATGGACACATTATTCTTATGCAGGTAATATTAGTAATTTAATTTTCTATTTAAATTTAATATTAATTTAAATTCGAAATTAAATAAATTTTTTAACTTTGTAGGTTATAAATACTCACATAACCGTGATAAAAGAAATATCAGATGGTTATATTGAAAATGAAGAAAGTTATGGTGAACGAGGACAAAATAATGATATAGGTATTAATGGTCATATGGAGCAACCATGTGGCACTGGTGTCGATAGAGAAATGAGAGAACTTCAAGAAGCAATTCGACTGATTCGCAATAGTGCTCATCAACCACTTCGTGTATTCACTGTCAGCAATGCTATTGAAAAGTAATATATCAAGTTTTATTTCTTTTTAAAATATATAATTGTTTTTTTATTTATAAAAATATTTGAAACAGCGCAAGTTGCGGTATTATTACGCCAAACATGGATAAATTAGCTGCAGGTTTTAACACTTCTGAAATTAGAGTATGGGGCATTAGCGACGCTGTACTTATGAGGCCGACGTTTTCTGAACCCACTGTTAAGCTTGCTTGTGATTTACCATCAACAAGCAATTATATTGATGACAGTAATAATCGGTAATTAAATACATTTCATATTAAACCTGACAAAGTTAATAATTTAACATACATGTAAAACTGTAAATTAAAATCTTGATAAAAATTGTATTTTTTCCTATAGGTGCGCAAATGGAGCGGTTATTTTAAGAGGTCACACTGATGTAATTCATGACGTTAGATTTGTACCTGAGGCGGAAGTTCTTCTTTCCGTGTCCAGTGACAAAGATATGAGAGCGTGGAGATTAAATGATTTTTCATGTGCTTCAGTTTACCAGTAAGAATATATTCTCAATAAATTTCTATTATTATTTATTTTTAATTTTATTATAATTCTCAATTTTTTTTGCGAAAAATTAAATTAATTTTTAACTTTCAGAGGTCACAATTATCCAATATGGTGTATGGACACTAGCGCGTTTAATTTGTACATAGCTACAGGTTCTCATGACAGAACTGCCAAATTGTGGTCATTAGATAGAACATTCCCTCTTCGAATATTTGCAGGTCATTTTTTGGATGTAAATGTAAGTTCTTTTTTTTAATATTTTAAATTTGTATTTTTTTTTATAATAAATTATTTATAAATAATTTTAATTTACAGTGCATACGATTTCATCCAAACGCTCGATATTTAGCGACAGGTTCGGCAGATAAGACTGTTAGATTGTGGAATAAGGATGATGGCAATATGTTACGAGTTTATGTAGGCGCTCAATCAACAATCTATAGTTTAGCTTTTAGTCCCGATGGAAAATACTTAGCTGCAGCTGGTAATTATTTAAAATACCTTATAAGCAATTTGTTTATTAATTTCGATATTCAGAATCTTAAGTTTTCATATAAATATTAATTTATTAAGGAATGCAATTTTAAATAGAATTTAATTATTTTAAAATATATTTATTTTCTATTACAGGTGATGACAAAAGTATTTCCATATGGGACTTGTCAACAAATTCATTAATGACGGAGTTAAAAGCCCATCAGGATTCTGTAATGAATTTAGATTGGAGTCCTGATGGTCAATTTATTGCTAGTTCCAGCATTGATGGAGTAGTCTGTTTATGGTCCACTCAGGAACATATTAATGTAAACAATAGGTAAGTTATGAGAAAACTCGTAAAATAATCAATATAAAAAACAATTAATAATAACTGATTTTAAATATTACAATTATTTATATTTTTTTCAGTGGTCTGGCTAATATGTCCGCAAAAGTTCCGCAAGTATTCAAAACAAATTGCTCAAGTATATTGTCCCTTCGATATTATAAAAAAAATAGTTCTCTTGTTTGTATTGGAACTACCTAATATCGAATCAAATTCATTTTTAAAAAAATTGTTTTTAAAAAAGCCATTTCGCCTTTGCAATTATCATTTTTTATTGTACTCGACATCATCATGTTTCCTTTTTAAATAATATAAAATAATTTTAAATACTTCCAATAATAGGTAAAAAAAAAAAAAAAAAAGTGTTTCGTATTAATAAAATCTAAAAAAAACACAGTTAATTGTAAGTTTAAAAAAAATACTATGTCGGCTGTGAAAAATGTTATTCTCTTTTTATTGTTAGACTCAACAAAAATAGTAATTAATATAAATCCCCTGCAAGAGGAGAAGGAGAAAAACTGACAAAAAAAAAAATAAATAAAGAATCGCTTCTGCAGCGCAAGAAGTACTTTTGTATATATGAATATTTTATTGTTAGTGAAATGGTAAGGGACAAGCGTTCTTTTTTTTGTTTGTTTGTAACAGGTTATTTCGTATTCTATTTTCTTACGAGTTACAAACAAAACCAAACACTTATTTATTTAATTATATCTGTATTTTCTAAAAACTCTGCATAATTTCTTTATAAGAAACTGGCGCATCTGTAATGTGTAAATAAATAATTTTGTTTCCAGTGATTATTTTTGTTTAATTTAAAACATTTTCTTTTTTATTCTTTCTCTCTCCATAAAAAAGTAGATATACAAAATAGTTTTTTTTTCTATTCACCATATTTAATATAAAAATTGTCATTAAGACAATTTTTTTTATTATTATTTTTTACTAGTGGAAGTTATTAATTTACATAATATATACCTATTTTTTTGCGCTTATTTTAGACCAATTATGGTCAAGATATATTAAATATTTACTTATGAAGTAAACTTACAATTTTTCTCTTTTTTTTAAAATGCTATTAAAATTAGTTATAAAATGCACAATAGTAATTATACTTGTTTGATTTCTCCACTGCAATGGGAACAGCAAGCCATATTAGACAAATTTGTATTCTTAGGAAGAAATATTTGTCCTCTTAATGCAACTGCTGCACCCATCACGGCACTGCATGCAACATCTTGTCTTCCTGACATTAACAAATTTGGATTCATCAATAGCTGAAAAAATATGAAACAGTATAAAAATAAATTCGAAATTAAAAAGGAGAATTTTTTTTTGTTTCACCTGTTCGGCTGTTTTTTCTGCAACTGTTTTCATTTCCAAACCGGTGACATTGATTTCTTTACGAAGACTAATTTGGTCCATTCCACTTAATAGTTGAACTTTCAATAATTCCGAAAGCTGAGAACAACCTTCAGCCAAGTCAATTATATTTGTACTTGCTAATTCATGTCGTTTAGATGTCGATGCTCCGGAAGGAGCAAAATTCTCCCTGAGAATACTCAAAGTTCTGAAACATATAAATAATTTAGAAATTAAATTGTTAATTTTTGCTTTAAGAAAAAATAATTGAAATTATAATATTTACCTATATGTTCGCAAATTTGTGTCTCTAATTTTGTTGTGTTCTTCAAATAATCGTTTTATTGATTCTTGAAGATCAGTCGTTCTTTGGCACAAGGCTGCTTTCCATTTTGCTAATTCCTCGACCATCAAACTGTAAAGAAAAATGATTTTCAAATTAATGACACAAAATTTATGTAATTTAAAACTATATATATTCAGTAATATATTGACCTGCTTGCTAAAAATTTACTCCTCCAAACTTCACATTGTCCTGCTAGCCATTCTGTTTGCTCTTGATGAGTAGTAAGATTTTTTGCTGAATTTAATAATGCTCGAGCCAATTGAAGTTTGTCTTCTGTTAATATATGAACTCTGCTTTCTAAATCTTCTCCTACTGCAGCCACTAATAAATTCTTTAGTTCTGCATTAACCTAGATAAAAATAAAGCAGTTATTTTTTAATTTAAAAAATATTAATTAAATAACATGTGTATAAAAGAATTTTTTTTTTTAATTTCACACCTGTGTTTGAAATTTTAATTGATTTTCTAATTGACTATTTTCTTCCTTCAACTTTTGAATTTCAGATTCATATTCTTTTTTATCATTGTCGGTATTTATTTGAGCATTACCACTTTTGCTACATTCTTCATCAAATTTTTTATCACTTGTCTTGATAAATGATAGTTGAGATATCATTGTATTTATATCAGCATTTTGTTTCGATGATTTTTTATTTTTTCTCTCTATAGGAATAATAGGATTTACAGCTGCCTTGTAAGGTTCATATGGTACAAATTTTGGTTCTTTTGATTTTAAAGAACTCAAAATACGTTTTTCTTTTTTGACATGAGTCGTCGAACTTTTTGGAATGAGATTCACTACTGTACCACTGGGAGTTATTGGAGGTTTGGAATTTAGCTGCTTAAAATTCGTAGGATGATAAATTAAAGTATCACCTAATCGAATTTTATTTCCTTTTGCTTCAAGTTTATCAGTGTCAATATTTTCCATTCCATCACCCTGGGTTCGTCTCATGCATGTTAAAGCTCGTGTATCTAAAAGAAGAATTAGTTCATTAAAAACAGTCATTAATAGTTAATGATCATACTAAAATACTTCATTTGTAAGATAAATCAAATATGTGGAGATAAGTAATATAATTATTGAATTAAATTACTAAATTAATCTTTTAATTCAATTGACTAAACAATCTGTTTCGTATAATTTGCGATTAACCTACTTCTCAATGAAAAAATTATAAATATTATATTTTTATAGAAAGCGTTGTTTAAAAATTATTTATCAAATTATTCTATTAATGAAAAAGTAAACAATATTTTTAAAATATATTGACTCAAATATATTGTAATCATAACCTCAAAATTATTATAATTATAAACAAACCGTCACAATTGGTCATTTTTTGCACTGATTTTTTTGTGAATATGAAATATTTAATATATTATCCTGCTTTATAGCTAAATCTCCTATTTTTTTTACAGAATACTGATTATTTCTATTATACTAAAACGTCAACATATGATGACTGATCAGCTGATGTCATCATATCACTGATCGTACAATATGGATACATATAATACAAATAGGCCTATATATATACAATACAAAGAATAAACTTGTGTATGGTAAAAATTTAGAAAATTATAATTATTATATTATAGAAAATGAATACATACACAAATCACATAAAATTTCGTAAAGAATATTATAGTTAAATATTTATTATACAGCTGTCAACTTTTCCCCCCTTTATACTTGTTTTATTTATCAGGGAATATAATTTATTAGTAATAATTTATACAGACATGAAAAAAAATATTATATACCAAAGAAAATTAACCATTAAAAATTTCTATAACATTATGAATAAATGATAGAATATTCAAATTACTGATATAAATAATTCTTCAACAATTTAGATTCAAAACTACGCGCCATAATGACTATAAAAGTCAAATTTTAACTATAAAAAATATAAATTAAAATTAATAAATAAAGATAAACAATTTTTAAAATATACTGTAAAGCTTTCCATCTTTTTGAGATATTTGAGTATAATATATTAATATAAAGACGACGATTTATTAAAACATTTGAAAAATAAACAGCTTATAAAGCCGGATGTTCACAAAAAAAAACAACGCGTGCGCAATGCGCAATAATCTGTTTTTCACTTTGTGACGTTCATGACTCCGCCATTTCTGTCATTTCTGTTTTATGGTGTAACTGTGAATTAGTGAAAGGATTGTTTTTACTTAAATGTTGATCTATCAACCAAGTGCAATCAAGTGTCAGCATTAAAAAGTGGTACACAGATCAAAATATTTTAATTTCTGCCTTGATAACAACTATAGACGCAAATAAAGACAATATTTTGGTTTTGGAAATTTAACCTGATACATCTGCGTCTTTAAAACGTTATGTACATAATTTTCTAGTTTTACGGTGTTTCTATCTTGGAAAAAAGATGCCGAAGAAATCTAATAAAACCTCTTGGGGTGGGAAAGGAAATTTTAGATCAGGAAACCACGAGGATAAGCATTATTTTGGTAAGTACACAAATAGAATTTCAATCAAATATTTTTACATTACATATTCTTAATAAAATGTTTTCTATACTCTACTTTAGGGTGCATATTTTTTGTGAATTCTTTTGCATTATCAATTACAATTTTTTCTTTTTCATACGTGATAAGAAATAATTCCTAAAAGTAGGTTAAACTTTTTATGCTTTTTGTTCTTATTTTTCCATTGTACAATAAGAATATTTATAAACACTATTTTTGTTTAAACAAATTTTTCAATGTGTTTTCTCGACAAGTTCTTTGTTTTAAAGGTATTTTAAAAATTAATGAAAATAATTGTAAAACTTGTAAAATGAATTTTATATGTGCTGATATTTTATTAAACTTTAATATTGAAGTAATAATTTTTTACAATACAATTGAAGATTTAGTAAACAATCTTGTTAATTTGAACTTTTAGAATTAAAAGATTATGATAGTAAATACTTTTATGAAATGGTTGCAGAAAGTTTATATAACTTTTTCATAAACTGTTCTTAAATGGAATATGCTTTTTCTTTGTTGAGAGAGCCTTATTATTTTAATTGTAGTGATTATGATGACTTCGAATTTCATAATAATTTTTTTTACAAATCTGCTGGCAAAAGATAAAAACAACATTTCGTTTTTTATTTATTTAAATGTATATTTATGCAATAAAAAATGTATCGAATTAAAATGTTGTCTATAGATTATCAAGTTTCAATACAAAAGAAAATAATAAAAAGTAAAGATAAAATTAGTAGAAATTCTGAAATTAAAAAAAAATGTATTTATTTTATAAGAATGATTTTAATCGTGATTTTAGCGTTGTAAATTAAAAATTATAATTATCTTAGGTCATGATGATCGTGTTAGACGCCCAGAAGGTAACAATGTGTTTACTGGAAATAGACCTAGAGTATCATTTAAAACACAATTTAAAGTAGCAAAAGAAAAACAGCGACATTTAGACTTTGAAGATATTGCCATGACTGTTGGAAGCAATAATAATGGTAGACAAGTTGTTATAAGAGGAAGAAATAGAAATAATTTCAATACATCTGCTTCTCGAGCACGTGGAAGAAATAGTCCATTACCACCTCGAATGTCAAATAAATATGTTGTAAGACCAGCTCAATTAAACATAGGTGAAGCCAGTTGGTACAAAGTTGTCGTAAGTATAATAATTCTTACATACTAAATTTTGAAACATCAATATATCTCAGTAATTGTATAATTATAAATTAATGATAATTTTAATTAAAATACATTTTTTTTTGCAGATATTGTACGGCTTTAAATATCCCAAGGAATTTGTATTAAATACACTTATGTCTCATTTAGCACCTGACACTTTCGTACCCATCATGGTAAATTTGTTTTAGATTAAATTAATTTTATTAATTCATCCTTTAATGGACAATGTAATTTTTTTTTTTTTTACTTTATTCACAGTATAAAATAACGGAAAAGGAAGCTTACTTCTTCGTAGATAATGTGAATATAGCAACTAAATTACAAAGAATTGATAATCAAATTTCGACAAATGATGGATTTAAATTAAAAATTCGTGTAAAGCCAGGAATTCCAACATTTGAGATTAATGATGCTTTTAAAGAGAGATTGAAGCAAGCAATGAATAAGAGATATTCACAGGAAACGAATGCATTGGATCTTTCGAAATTTCATCTTGATCCAGGTTCGATAAATTAAAATTTTGTAATTTAAAAACTCGAGTTAAAGTCAATTATCTTTTTTTAAAAATTATTAATGTAATTTACAAAAAAAAAATTCTTTTTAGAGCTTGCTGATGATTACTTTTGTGCTCTATACAAAATTCCTATTCTAATAACAGTGTTGGACATTGTTGCAACTCACATTCCAAATTTGGAAGCCTTAAATCTAGATGGAAACAAATTACATATAATCGACAGACTTGGTGTGCTTAAAACAAAATTGGAGAAACTCAAGATTTTATACATTGGAGATAACAAAGTATGTTTTTACTCAATTATATTTTTAAAATGGAGACTAAATCAACATTTTGTATCAAAAATTTAAATAATTTTTAAAATTTTCTAAATTTACAGATTCGAGAAATGAGTCAATTAGACGCTATTAAGGATTTAAAATTGGAAGAATTAAGGCTGGCAGGAAATCCCGTGTGCAATAAGTATAAAACTCGTCACAGTGAATATGTAAGGTAACGTACAATGTATTGACTAATAATTGAAACAAATACCTCGATGATACAATTCAACGCTGATATATAATGTTCATAAAGAAACGAGTTTTGATAGTTTTTTATTTATTTACTTTTTTGTTGGTCTTATTGTTTCAGCAATTTTGATATGAAATGTAAAATGATCGAAATAATAACACGAATTATTTTCTTTCACGTTCTTTTCGAACACATTTTACAATTTTTATTGAAATTATTTTTAAATATTTACTCCTTTTACCAAAATATTAACAATTTTCTTAAAATTTAAAACTTTATTATGATAATTTATTATTTTGTAAAATTGTGTTTGAAATTTTTTGTTAATTGGAGTAACTGTTTTAAAAACTTAATAAACTTTTAAACGATATTAACATCTGCTTCTTAATAATAAGTTAAAAAATCAAGTGATATTTGAATTTCTCCAAAATTTTAATCCTTTGAATTGAATGAATGTTAAATTTATTGAAATAACTTGTTTATTTATTTAATTCAGTTTTTTATTATACAAGTAAATTTATTGAAGGATTAAAATTTTAAAACACCATTTTTGTTTTTAATATAAATTTTTTTTTTCGTGTGATACTTGAAAATTCTCATTTTTGTTGATCCAAGGCGTTGAATTATTTTCCGATTGAAATATTTTTTAATTAATGTAATAAAATCTTCTTTTATTACAACTAACGTGGAGCTTCCGGGCTTCTGGCTTTTCTTTCTTGACAACAGTGCTGTGCGGAAAAAGTTTCCAAAACTTCTTCGTCTGGTAAATAATAATATATTATTGTTTTATGTAAATATTTAATTTAATGTTAATAATATTTTTATAAAATAAAATTTTTTAATTTAAAAAGGACGGTGTAGAATTGCCACGACCAATTTTGTTCGATGTAGTTGACGAAGGCGTCAAATTACCACCATCGAAGACGATTTTTATTGCCGATCCTAAGGCGCAAGAAATTGCAAATCAATTTTTGCAACAATATTTTGTCATTTTTGACAGTGATAATCGACAGCCTTTATTGGATGCTTATCACGAACACGCATGTTTCAGTATGACAGTATCATCTGCTCTTAGTACCAACAAGTGAGTTTTTTAAACTGAACATTTTTTTTTTTTTGTTGAGACTTGAAATGTAGCGAAAAATGTTTACTTTTCTTTTAGATCGAACGCTTATTTTAGTGAGAATCGAAATTTATTTCGAATAAACGATCCCAATAGACGTCGAAAACTTATTAAAATTGGAAAGTTACCGGTTGTTTCTTTTATAACGGAAATACCACGTACCAAACATGATTTGAATTCTTTTACAATGGATCTCAGCTTCGTCATTGTAAGAAATTTACTGAATAATTTTAAATTATTAAAATCGATTGATTAATTAATAATTGAATTTAAATACATTTTTTTTAGGAAGGCATGATGCTCATTACAGTCACTGGCCTATTTAGGGAACTTGACACTAAGGATACGGCACTTCGTTTTTTCAACCGAACATTTGTGATTGTTCCTGAAGGCAGTGGCTATTGCATTCGAAATGAGCAATTATTCATTGCAAATCCAACTGAACTTCAAGAAAAGCGGGCTTTCAACACTCAACCTGCACCTTCTTTGCCATCGGGAAGTTCATCGTACAATGCTCCAAATGTGCCAAATATTTCCGGTGAACCAATGGAGGAAATTAAACAAAGTATGACCCTAAGTTTGAGTCAACAAACAAACATGAATGTAGAGTGGAGTTTAAAGTGTCTAGCGGAAGTGCAGTGGAATTTCGATAATGCTCTTGCCGCTTTCCACGAATTTTACAATAGAGGACAAATACCACCAGAAGCATTTAAAAAATGAGCTGACTTCAATTAAAATGCAATGCATTGTAAAACAAAAGGAAAAAGAAAAAAAGTGAATTTTTTTTCAATTCTACTGAAAAACAATTGTCTATTTTTTGTTTTTTCAGCCGTGTTATTAAATTAATTTTTTTTTTTTTGTAAAAGAGTAATTTTGTTCTTTCAAATTAATTTTTTTTTTATTTCTTTACGACGTAAGTAGTTGATAATTTCATTTATTTTTTCCAATGCAAATGGGAAAAAGAAAATTACTTTTGTGAATATTGAGCGCGAAAATATTTTGATGATTTGTATATAACAAATATGTACATGTAAAAGTAGAATTACAAATAATATAGACTATAGAGAGACATAAGTTGAAACTAAATCTTTTCATAAAACATAATGTTAGGGGAAAACTTTAAAGATTTAAAGTCAACAGTTCATTTGTGACGTCGCTGTTTTTTTGCATGTAAAATAATTTACATTTAATTAAAAAGAATGTATGTTAATTGTCAACATTGTGCAAAAAAAAAAGAATGTAATATTTGAATATTACATTTTAAATCTGGTAAATGTAGCTTTTAATATACTTAAAAAATTCAATCGAACAGGATAATTATTTTAAATTAATGAAAAAAAAAATCTGAGGGAAAAAATTAATTTTTATAGATGTCTAATTTATGTAAAGGACAGAAATCTTAATTTAATTTTAACATGAAATGCTTTTAAAAATTTTCCAACTGTCTTTTTAATTTGAAAACATTCGTTGTTATTGAAACTGATAAATTATAATTATTCAATAAATTTGAATAATTATTTTGGTTTCATGAAATATTGAAAAGTGTTAATAAAAAAAAATTCGAATGTTTTCAAATGAAATGAACAACGAGTTATTGGTATCTATTTTTAAAAAAAACAGCTTTTAATAGCTAACACTTTCAAATTCGAATTTCTTCGAAGGAAAAAATTAGCATTTTTAACAATTTGTAAATCTTGGTTGAATTACTTTTTGTTTTTTTTTCTTTTTTGTTAAAGTTTTCGACGTTGAAAGTGTGAAGCTTTTAATGAAAAACTTTTTTTTACATTATTTTTTTTTTAAAGTAATGGAAATTTTCATTTATAAGTGCAATTTATGCGATTAAACGAAAATATAGTAAAATACAAAAATAATTTTGATTATTTTATGAAAAGTAATTTTCAGTTGCAAATGTGCATTAAGATTAAGAAACAATAAATATTATGTTTTGTATTTCACACATTTTTCATATATCATCGAACTAGTAATATTGATAGAAATTGGTTTCGCACAAGATATATAATATATCTAAAAGTTATGTTCTATCAGATACAAAAAAAAAGTGTTTTAAACTTATGTACAATTAATTTAAAAATGAGACTTTTCTACTTTTATAATTCGTAATTAATTTCTTCAAATTTTGAACATTAATTGATTGTAAAACTTTTTGTTAACGACATAATTTCGACGCAGCACATGATTGTAAATTATTTTAAATTTATATTATTGAAATTTATTTTCATTTTGGAAAATATTTTGTTTTTTAATTTTTATTTCTTCTAAGTGATGAAGACAAAAAAAAGGGTAGCAAAGAAAAAAACATTGAAATCGAAAAATTGAAATGAGATCATAAATTGAATTCGTTAGTTTTTTGTCTCAAATCCCAAGTTTGGTGAGTGAATTTTTGTCTTGTTTAAAGTTTTCTTTACAAGACTGTGGCTCACATGAGTGCACAATTTGGATTTTATGTCCCGTTGATTTTTTTCTTCGGGACATTCGCTAAAAGAAGAACTCTAAAGGGTTAATCCCTTTAGCTGTGAATCTGTTGATGTTATGCGAGCCAGCTCTCTCTCTCTCTCTCTCTGCGGAGAGCATCTTAAATCATATTTTATGATATATCACATATCCATCGAAGGGACAAAGAGCAAAAACTATTAAACGAAATTTCAATTTCTTCACAATTTTTCAGGTTTTTTTAAAATTATTATTATTAGTTAATGCAAAAGAAAATGTAATTTTAAAAAACATAAAAATTTTTATTTTTAAACACCTAAAATGTTTTATTTAACGTTTATAATAATTTATCTTTTTGTGCTGTTAGAAATTATCATTTGTTATCAAATAATTAATTTTTGTAAAACATTCTGAAGAACAATCTTATATGGATATTATATATTAAATTTTATATGGTGAAATTTAGAATAATAAAAAAGAGGAGGCAAAAAACCAATTATCTGTTGAAAAAAGAAACAGAATAACATCAAAATGTTCCAAATATTGACTTATCTTTTGTAATGTGATTTTTTTGATTTAAATGTAAATAAGAACTTGTGTATAAAAGAAACAGAAATGCGTGAGAAGTCTATTTTCATCAGAAAAAAAACAATGATAAATAAATAGATTAAAATTGAATACTCCTTGTATTTCTTTACAAACCCATAAAATGTATATTGAAACATTTTTTCTATTCATTTATTATAAATTATATTATGAATTTAAAAACAGATAAAAAATTATTTTTTGAAATGAATATTTAGGGATATGCGATAAATACAATAGACTAAAATTAATGATTTATTGAATAATTTTAAAATGTATTTTTGTAATTAAATTTTAATAAAATTTTCAAAATTCTATTCAAATTAAAATTATTGATTTTTTTAACTATATAAAGACCTTTTAATTTACATTTATATAAATTACTATAGTTTTGTTGTAATTAACGTTTCTTAGCTTAAAAAAAAATGGGGTAAATTAATTTCATAACTATTCTCAAAATATTACATGCGAAATCTTTTTCGTTTGCAATTGTACAAAATTGCAATTATGTTACTAATAAGAATATGATTTTGAAATAATTTTCGCCAAAAAGTACGTTATATAGTATTATTTACAATTATATCAATACCACTTAAACAAAAGTTACATTGAAATATTTATTGCAAAAAAAAAAAAAAAATAATGATAACCTACTTACGTATAACTAATTAATTATAATTCTTTTTTTTTTTAACGATTATAAAACGTGTGTGGCGCATCAGTTGTATTTAAAATTAACAACGAAATATGTATTTTGCACCGCAAATTAAGAAAAAAAATATTAATAAATTCTAACAAAAGAGAAATAAAGGAAAAGCAATTTAAAAGAAATTTATGAGATAAACAACTCATAATTATATCGATCAAAGGCAAGAACCCTATATAAAGGTTCACAAAAATTTCTTTCCGTCTACAAATTTTGTCAAAAAGTAATAAGATTTTACTTTTTTTTTTCACAATCATGATCATCATTGGTCAAAGTCTGGCGATGACTTTTAAAATGGAAAAGAAATTAATTTAATGTCCTATATCCATTTTCTTTTTTTTTTTTTTTGTTAAATTAAATATTTGCTTGGAGTTTTTGTGGTCTCCCACAACGTCTAATGGCCAATTCTCTGTCTTTCATAAATTTTTCACTTTCCTCAGACTTAAAATTTCTTTCAACTTTGGTGTGCAATTTTTTATGTTTCATGTATGTAAATTGAGACTTGAAGAATTTGTGACAAATTGAACATTCATAAATATCTCTGGCTGTAAGAAGAAAAAATATGATAAAATATTTTCTATTTGTAAATAAAAATTAATTATTAAATTATATACTTACCAATTCGTCTTTTTGTAAAATGCTGTAAAATATGATTTTCATGAGCGGAAGCGCTAGGAAGCCATCGATTGCATATTGTACAACTTAAATCGGCAAATTTCCACTTCCTGTGTAATCTGGCAATTAATTTCCTCTTGTTGGCTAATTTCACCATTTTTGATTGATTGACAATGTTTAATGATTTTTTCGATTCTAAATTTTGTTCTGCCGATTCATTATTTCTTGGAGAATTTTCTTCTTTCTCTTCTGTTTCTTCTTCTGCTGCTACTGCTGCTACTTCTTCTTCTTCTTCTTCTTCTTCGGGTGGTTGATTTTTTTCGGATTCTTCTTGTTTTTTTGAAATTATTTCCTCTTCTGATTCTTTTTCCGATTCATCGTCGTCGTCGTCGTCATCTTTTTCCAATTCTGCATTTTTCCTCTCGAGATTTTTGAGTCTATTTATTTCTATTTGCATTTGTAATTTTTTTGTGTCGGCTTTACTTGGTCTGCCACGTTTTCGTGGCGTATGTTCAGCGCGTACGTGACGCGCTAAAGTAACAACCATATCGAATTTCTCCTCACATGTTTTACATGTATATTCCTTTTTCGGTTTAGAACTTTTGTCCTTTGAATTTTTTTTATTAATCTTTTTATTCCTTGGACTCTCATTCTCAGAGGACGATTCATCTCTACTGTACCTGTCGCTCAATCGATGTGATCTGCCTCTAAATTTAGTGCATACTCTTGTGTGTGAATCAAAGGCTCGTCTGTGTTTAAATACCTTTGAACAATGTCTACATTTCATAGAATCATCATAATCATCATCATCATCGTCATCCTCATCATTATCTTCGTCAATATCTTCATCATCCTCATCATCCTCATCATCGGAATCTCCAACCATTATAATTTCATTTTCCTTATCACTCGAACCTTTTTCTTTATTTTCATCGAGTGTAATTTCCAAAACTTCTTTTCTTCGTAGAGTTTCATCGGAATCAGAATCATCGATATCGATGTCTATTATTTCGACACGTGTACGTCGTCGTCTTGTACTCTTTCTCGTTGGTAATTTTGATATTTTATTGGCATTTTTCTTTTTTCGTTTACCCCTCTTTCTGGGCATTGGTATCTCTTCCTCTTCCTCTAACATGGAAGCCGGTTGTATTATTATTTCAGTATCTTCACGATTTACAGATGTCAACTGTTGTTTTCTAGGTCTTTTGACTTTCGATTGTGAATTTGTATTTGTCAAACTGTCGGATAATGAAATATTCACTGATGTATTGGGTGTGTAATAATCAGTCATTGGCGATAATTCACGTTTAATTCCATGATTTTGTTTTGAACCAATAATTGATGTATTTGATAAATGAGATCGTTTAACAGGACTCTGTTGTTTTGGTGGTGATTCAATTTTCATAGAATTTTGATAAAATGCACCACGATAACTGGTATTGCAAATTGATGGCGGTGTGGCTATGTATACTAAACCATTATTTGTTTTCTTTTGAGGGGGAGGTTTCTCAATGGAAATATTTTTATGTTTCTTTAAATTGTTTGTCTTTGTTTTTAATCCTTGAAGTGTGGCTTGAATTTCATCAAATGTCAATTCTGTATCAGACTGATCACCATCGCAGAGAATATATTGTACAGTTGATTGTTCAACGAGTTCTTCTTCACTTCCAGAATCATCGAGACGAATAATTTTCGGTGGTGGTGGATCTAAAATACAAAAATGGAAAATTTAATAAGTTCCAAAGCTTATTTTAATATAAATTTATTCTCAAATTAATAATAATGTCATACTTTCAAATTCAGATTTCACAATATGAGTTGTTACTTTTTTCTTATTGTCAAAATTTCGATTTTTTATCAGTTCTGTCCGATTTTCTGTTTTTATTATATCACCAGTTATTTCCTCCTTGGGTATAAATACTGGAGGCTGTGTTGTTACCAATTGTCTTTTTATTTGAGTTGGTTTCTTCACAGTTCTAACGGCTCCTTCTCTTATTAATCTTTCCACATCAGATCTGTAAAATTGAATTTTAGAATAAGAAAAATACTCATTCTTTAAGAATATTTGTTTTCGTTTTAAAAAAAATTCATTGAAATATATACTTCATAAGAAATTGAAAATTTGATGGTGGTTCTCCAGATTCATCATAGACAGCAACAGCAAAATAATCATCGGAATCTTCAACTGCATAAAGGGCTAATTGTTGACCAGATGCTGTGACGAACATAGCTATAGTTTCTTCTTCGTCATCCTCTTCTTCTTCCCCTTCCGTTTTTTCAATATAAAATTCAGTTCTCTCATCTTCACTGTCAATAGAACCCTATTCGAAAAAAAATTACTTCTCAAAAAAATGTACATTTTACATTTAAATAATATGCGTATAATTTTTTTTTTTTTTTTAATTTACCAAAGGTTTTGATGCAGTTTCTGCTGCCCATTCTTGTTTAATTCCAATAAAAACTGATTCATTATTTTTAGTTGAATCAACAGTTTTTTCATCTTCATATGCAATGTTCTCTTCATAAGAAATATCTAAACCACTTTCTTTTTTTATATTAATATTAATATTCTGATTAACTTCAGACTCCTCGTACATGACCTATTAAAAATAAATAACATTTTCAATTAGTAACTAAATGAAAATTACATGCACTAACATTCATTAATTTGAATAGTTATCTTTAATAGTCGTTATTAAAGTATAATTTACAATTATAAATGTTAATTAGAATATTGGTTTAACTTACAGTTTCTTCAGTATTTTCTTCCCCTTCTGTCAGCATATCTGGAGAAATAATATTGTTGTATGACATTTTTAAAATTGTCTTGTTATTTATTTCACTATTTAGGAGCAGTCTTTCAATTGCGACTGTGAATTTCTTTTAAACAAGACATAAATGTAAATTTTGCAAAAAATAAATCTTCCATTTAATAAAAAAAATGAAGATAATTGTAAATTAATATAAATGACATTTGTAAATAATCAGAGAATGCAGAAACATACATTTGCATTCTTATTAAATTAATATTTTCTAAATGCTATTGTATTTTATATAAAAATGAGGTTATGGTGTTCGAAAAATTGCAAAATCCGTATAAGAAAAAAATTTGATATAGAACACCTATAAATATCTTGATCCAAATTTAATGAGGCTAATGCTCAAAAATTTTGTGAACACTTGTCTGATGCACTTTTATTTATATCACACAAACGAAAAATCCCACAAAAAGCAAGCAACATTTTTCTTTTTCCAAAACAACGACTGCTGTTGCGTTGATTCGATACAAATGCAGAACTCTATAGAAGCCTTCTTGTTTATGCCATTGCAACATACATCATCCAATTAATTCACTCGCTACATTGGCTACAACAGAAAGTATGTCTTCTATTGGTTAATATTCATTCAATTGACGCCATTTTTGTTTCATAAAAAGTTGTAGCTAATCAATAACCGTTGTCCTGTGGAAATTTAATTTCTAAATGGTTAAAATTTCTCTTAGTACAAAATGGACAAAATTTGTCCACCAATTAAAATTTATGTATATTTTAATGATTTTTATGTTTTTTCAAAAACTTGTTTAAATAATTGATAAAATTGTAGAAAAAAGAAGAAAAAAAATCTACATTCTTGCTTAGAATTAATATTATTATTTAGAATCTTATATTTAAAAAACTAATTTTTCTTTAAAATCCCGCCAAATTATGCTATCACAAAATAAATCATAATTCGGCTTCTTCTAACCTATAAATTTTGTGTATATATATTTCAATGATTTTTTCACTTTCTTTTTAAAAGTTTCAAATAAATATATATTACAAGAAATTTTTAGTACAAATAAAAAAATTATAATTTATGCAGATAAAGGAATATGAAAATAATAAACTTTTTTTGAATCATAAAATTTTAATGAGTCAAAAATATATAAGTATCGATTATATTTTCCGACAAAACAAATCAATCATATAACATATATAAAATTATTATTTTTGAAAGTTTCTGAACAAAGTAAACATAAATTATTAACATTGTTTTATTTGTCGTTTTTTATTTTAATTTTTTGTAATCAGTGAAAAAAAACAATATCAAAAACAAGGTTAATTATTCCTTGAAACGTCAAAATTCATTTTACGATGACAGTTCGGTTGTGGTGTGTGTGTGGTCTATGTTTGAATTAATTAAGAAGCAAGTATTAAAAAACATTAAAATTAATATTTAAATAATCAATTGTATTTATAACAGTTGAATGGAAATGAATCATAATGAGAATTACAGTAGATCAAAACATCGATATTCTTCAAAATAGTGCCATATATAATTTATAATAATTCTCCAAAGAATCTATATAGAGAAGAAAAAAATGATTCGATACGTTTGGTCAATAATCTGTTGGTATTTTAGATCATTTGTAAAATGGATTTTACGTTTTACAACACGAATGTGTGAATTACAAAGAATTTGCTATGGAGAACCATCAGGAGCACAACGAACACTAGCTGTGGAGCAATCACTTCGACAGTCGAAAAATCCAAATATCAAGGCTCTTGTTGTTCATTTAGATGAGATTGCCGATCAACAGGCAATTAGTATTAAAACAGAACGAGAAATTTTAGAAGAAGCAATAAAAACTATTCTTAATGCTAAAGATATTAATCCATTTGCTCATCCAAAATTCGCCAAATCATTTGCTAAGTGTGTTGAGTCTATATGGGGATATAGACAATTAGCTGTTGAGTGCGAAGAACTTAGAAAAACGCCATATGATCCAGAGAATCCAGAACATGAAATGCTCTTATTGAAATTGTGGAATTTATTAATGCCATATGAACCTCTTGATTCACGAGTAACAAAACAATGGCAGGTAGGAAATTTAATAAATTTTCTCTTTTTCATTACTTTTTTTTTAACGTAAATTTTTTAATAATGATTTTAATGATAGGACATAGGATTCCAAGGTGATGATCCTAAGACAGATTTTCGTGGAATGGGAATTTTAGGATTGGAGAATCTTGTTTATTTTGCAAGGGAATATCCAAGTGCCGCTAGTCATGTCTTATCACATTCAACTCATCCTCGTTATGGTTATGCTTTTGCCATTGTGGGAATTAATCTTACAAGTATGGCCCTTAGATTACTACGTGATGGATCAGCTAAAACTCATATTTACAATTCATGTAAAACACTGCCGACTATACGTGCCTTTCATCAGTTTTATAGCTACCTCTTTTATGAATTTGACGGATTCTGGATAGAATCTAAGCCCAGTAATATGATGGAATTTTCATCAATACAAGTGAAATTTGAAAATACCATTAAAATGGCCTTGGCAAATCCGACTACGATATTTAGGATAAATGTGTCTGTTGACAATATTTAGTATATTTATAAAATCGTTAATAGTTTTTTTTTTCAACATCATTCTTTTTTAATAGCAAAATTTTCCATTAAGAAATTTACAAATTTTTAATTATTTATAAAAAATTTCACATTTATGAACATTTTTAAACTTAAATAATTTAACTATATAATAGTTTTTTTTTTAGTTATGATCTCATTGAGCTAGAAGTTATAAAATAATTTTTTGTGGTGTTTGTTTAAAGTAAAATTTATGTAATTTATATTTATTTAATTTAGCAAAAACATAGAAAATTGATAAATTTAGTACGTTTGTGGTAAAACGTATCTTTTTAAAAAAGTTTTATTTGCAGTTGATTTTAATATCACTGTAAAATATGTTTGAATCTGAAAGATATTATTGTATTTATCTTTTTTTTTTTTGTTTAAAGTTTACTTCTGAAATGAATTTATAAAATTTTTTGATGTTTTTATAAATAGAGCACAATTTTGAATATTTCGCACATAAGCCATTGTCTATTGTGATTTGTACTATTGCACTAGCAAAAGTATAAAAATAATTTTATTGCCATAAAATACCTCTTGTATCATTCCTAGTGCACGGTTTATCGTCAATAGTAAATTATAATTCACATTTTTTAAATATCATACATTGATATTTTGCAAAATATTTTTATTTATAATAATTCAAGCCCAAATGAAGCAAAATGATTAATTTTATCATTGTTAATTAAATTACAATAATAATAATAATTTAAAACATTAGTATTGTACATTTTTTTAAGTTTTATTTTTATACATTCCTCTGTTATACGAAATCTAGAAAATATTTAGCACCAATTGGAATATAATATTAAAAAAATATAAGAATATTTAAAAAAATTAATTTTCGCTGACACCTTAATTATATATTTCGAAATTACATGTATATTTATGTATAAAAGGAAGGGGTATGTATTTAGCTAAAACTTAAATTATTTGTTAATATATGAATTGTAGAAAATCTTTTTTTAAGTTCAATTGTAATGTGTACATATATACATTGCTTAAAACGAGAGATATATTTATATTATTTAGCCTTCTTTTGTGGAACTTCGGATTTTCGCCTTAATTTTGATGCTACTGAGACGATCACAAATACGCCAATAGTTATGCTTCCGAGCTTTATTATCCAAGGATTTTCACGCAGGGCATTTGCAATCATTTGTGTAAAATCATCGCTGAAATTTTAATTTAAAATAATTAGAAATAGAAATAATTTGTGTATCGTTAATTAATATAAGTGAATTGTTTTGAGGCTATAATGTCGTTTTTGTTGATTTTCTATTGTATTTATTTTTTAAATGCAATAAGTGGATTTAAATAAATGTTTTTAAATTTGCAAAAGTATTTTTTACTTTAAAAGCTTCAAACATCATTAATATAAGAATAAATTTAAATTAATTTTGAAATACTTACAAAGGACTTTGAGGCACTGGAACTTTTTCAATTCGGGCATTTCTATACCAATCTCTAGCAAATGATACAAAGGAATTCACATCATATTTTGGAATTTGATATCTATACATTTTACCTTGTCGGAAGCTGGAAAAAAAAGAAAATGTGTTTAGTATTTATTTAAACGAATTTAAATGATAAGTAAAATAATTTTCACATACAAAATGAATTCAGGAACTTCGAAAACATTGAATCTTCGAGCAGTAGATGCACCTGTGGTATGTTTATTCATTCGAGCAACATTTACTCTTTGTTTTATTTTTGAACCTACTGCTTCCCATCTGGCGCCCATTCTTTGACATTCCACACAATCTGAACTGTAACTAAAAAAAATGGGAATAATTAATCAACTAATACATTTATTAGTAACCATTTGAATATTAATTTTCTATTTTAGAATTTCATCAAATAAATCCACTTACAACATGACAAACCAATCACCAGTAGTTGCTCCACTACTGGCTTGTGTTAAATGTTCAAAAGTATCATCAGTTAATTCCTTGACGATAGGCTTTTGATTATCAATAAATGTTCTTAAAATTTCTTCTCCATCTAAAGGACCTGTGAAAATAAAAATAACAGTGAATCCATCTATTTTAAATATAATTCATTGTGCTTGTAATTCAAATGTAAAAAATATACCATCATATAAAAGAGGATTTCCATTTCTGTAGAAAATTAAAGCAGGCTCTTTATTAGGACTGTAAAGTCGTAGAAGTTGACTGTTTGAAACTTTTACCACCCAGGCTGACAATGAATCGACTAGATCTTCTCGTACTTGAATTAATTCATTTTCCATATTTTCACAAGCTTCACAATCTTTTTTAGCTGAAAAATGGAGACAATTATAATTCTTTTCTTTAATTCAATTTATTTATTTATTTATAACAAACTATATTACTTATTTGAATATAAAAGATATTCTATGAAATTTTGAGGTTAGATTAATATTTATTTATTATAGAGAAAATAAACAATGTATAAAGATATATTCTATTAAAGAATTAATAAAATTTAATTGAACATTCCATATAATTTGTAATAAAGTTAGTTAAAAAATAAACATACTGAAAAGAGCAACAACAAAATTCTCATTTTTTATGTGATTCAGTAGATCGTCATCAGTTACTAATTCAAGAGAGGAACCAAGAACTCCAGAAAAACATACGAATAATGAAAAAATTAGTATTCGTAACATGTTTATAAAAATTTATAAAAATACTATTTTTAATCTATCTTGTTTTTTAGTATTTCACCGGCACGGTATTTCTATTTACGATTACACGTCACCCGACAATTTCTAATAGTCATGTTGGTAGAATTGTAAGAATAAAAGTTTTTTTTATCTTAGGTTAGCATACCTGCTCACAATATTCAAATATGTATAGAAAATTTAATCTATAAAATAATAATAAAATCACTTAAATTTAAGCGTTAATTATTATTATATATATTTTTTTATTTTATAATTAATTTCAGTTTTGTATAGATAATCAGTAATTAATTATAAGTTTATTAATTTAAATTTCATTATTTGTATATTGGTAGCAGTGGAAAGTTTTTTTAATTTGTTTGTACAAGGTTGGTAATGGCGTCTTTAGAAGCTGAAATAGTGTCGTTTGTTTGGAAAACTTTAAATCTTTTAATAGCGTGTAGATCGTAATATTTTATTATAAATATTTAGCAGAAATTAAGTTTTGTTTAGCCTAAATATAATATATTTCGTAAAATTTCATTAAAAAAATGATACAAAAAAAAGTAATAATTTTTGATAAAATGCCGTGACAAATCCTCAATGATTGTCATTGGCAAACGAATAAATTAGAATCCAGTACTTATTAACGTTAATTGTCAACATTTTCTTTATAATCAAGAGAATTTTTGCATAAATAATTAATATTTCTTTAAAGTAATGATGAAAAATATAAAAAAATTTTGCAATTGCAATCTAACCTCAAAATTGATGGAAGCCATCTAGCGTCAATAGAATTAACTACTTTTAAGTTGATTCCTATTATTTCCGTTAGATGGCTTTTTGTTTACAATTTGAAAAAAATGTTTGTAGAATTATAAAATATTGTTATTTTATAATTAGTTAGGTCACTTTTAACTTAACAATTAAAAATTTTTATTTCTAATAAAGTACATGAGAGTTGTGATTCTTGAGCGTTTTATAAAATTACAATGTGAATCATAGTGATATTTTTGATTATATATATTGTGGGGAATTACCAATTACCATTATTTAATCATTTACAATGCAGTGCACATGGCATTAGGATCAGCGATCAGGTAAGATCTTTAGTTAAATTTTTAATATAGGTAATATAGGTGTATATTATTTGTGTCGGCTATTTTAGCCTAAAATACACATAACTAAAAAAAGTTTAAATTTTCGCGCTTTATCTCCTATAGGCTAATGAATTAAAAATGTCCGATTTTCACAGCCAATAAAAAAATATCTTTAGCTTAAAATAAATGTTTCTGAGTCACGAGAAAAAGGATTTTCCTTCTTTGACATCCTTTTTTGATTATTAAAAAAAAAATTGTTTATTAAATAAGTTTGCAACGATCAAATTACATGAAAAAGTGTGATAATTATTTGGCATGAATGTTATTGAAGAGATTCTTTTTATATCATCTGTATAGCAGTCAAGTGAGAGTAGTTGCTTATTTTTGAAGCTGTCAATTTTTTATATCATCACCAATGGCCGGGCTTAAAGGTTATATATGATAAATTATTATTAATTTTTATCACTACATTAATCTCTGATAACTTTTATTTCAATAATTTGATTGAAAAATATTAGTACAAACTGAAAAATGGAGATATATTTACGGATTTAAAACATAACCTCTTAAACGTGTTACTATTGTGAAACTTAATTCAAATGAATTTGCATTTTTCTATTTGTATATTATTGTTTACGTTTGTGTTCTTTTTTTAATTTTTTATTGAGACTATTGTTACAAATTTGGGTTAAGTATGATAATTTTGTACTTTAATTATTTTTTAATAGTTAATTAGTTTTCAAATTAAGTTTATGAGAATATTTTTATATCATATATATATTGTCAAAAATCAAAGATTAATGAAAAAGGAAAAATTTTATTGAAATTAAAAACTTTGTGTTTCTGTTTCATATTACTTTTATGGAAATTTTCTTCTTTGAACAGCGTAAGTATATAATCTGTATATATTTCTACCAATGTATATTATTAATAATATAAATATTAATATATTTATATTAAAATTTCAGACTCGTTTCATTGGCTTTCGCCGGTTCGATTGGCATGACATTTGTTATTCTTGCTTGTGCTCTTCCCTCTTATCAGTAAGAAAATAAAATTATAGCAAAATAGAGAAATTCAATTAAAAGTAAATTAATCCTTAAGTTTCGAAATTTTATAAATATTTTTTTCTTGTCTTTCAGAGTATGGTGGCCGTTTTTCGTCGTATTATTCTATACTTTGTCACCAATTCCAACGTTGGTGGCACGTCGTGTTTCCGATAACTCAGGAAGTAGTAGTAATCCGAGATTAGAATTAGCAATATTCTTAACCATGGGCATTGTTATTTCATCCTTTGCTCTTCCAATTGTATTAGCGAGAGCACCAGAAAATGATCCAGTGGTACGTACGATATTTTTGGAAATTAAAATAAATTTTTTTGCACCAAAATAATCAATAACAAAACTAAAATAAATGAAAAATATTAATCTTTAGTTTATGAAATACATGAAATAATTTCAGATACAAAAAGGCGCTTGCTATTTGACATTAGCGGGCAATGTTGTCGTGTACCTGACAATTGTAGCCTTTTTTATGGCTTTTGATCAGGATGATTCTGATTACAGTATGTGGTGAAAGAAATAACTGCAGTACTTATTTGTCACGGTGAAAAAAAAAAACATATTTAAAGTGATAAAACGAGAAAAAACGAAGTAAAAAAATACGCTCCCCCCGAAATAAGTTATTAATATACATACTTTATATAAATATACATATATATATATATATATTACGTAAGTGCATACACATACTTTATACGTCATTTTATAAATAGACCACAATTTAGAAGCTCTTTTAAATTTTTGTATAATGTCACATGAAAGGAAAAAAAAGAGCTCCTTCAGTGCACTGACTGATTGCTACGCTTTAATGTTTAACGTTAAATTTACATTCTATACATTATTATAATATACAATTTACAATTTCATTTAAAATCATTAGTCTAAGTTTATAAAAATTTGATACATTTAATTACTCATTGATATTTAATAACTTAGAGTAGATTAAAATAATATTTTATTTCTTTTTTTAAGAACATTTTTGTTCTTTATTATACTCTTCAGTTCAGATTTCAACTGACTGCAAATAATTACCCTAAATTTAACCCAATTCTTTTTTTACTTTAATCATAATTAAATGTAGTCAAAATAATATTTCAATTGAGAATTATTTATTTTAATTACAATTTTCGTTTTTATTCGCTATATGTTTAATAATATGGTAAAGCAAGATTATTGTCGTAGTTGTATGTGATCAGGAAATAATAATAATGTTTACCATTCCAATTGTAATTGTTTATTCGCAATTATCATTTTTTTATTGTAGATTTTTAATTGTTTTTTTTTTCTATAAATCTAGAAAAATAGCATATTGTAAATAATATTTTTTAATTTACAAGAAAGTTACAATTTTTTAATTTTAATAATTTTTGTATTTAAAAATTAAACTTTCCTTTTTTCTTTAAAATGTATTGATTATAAATTTTTATTTAAAGATTATAAGATAGATTATTGTATTTTATTTACAAAAAAAGTTGATAAAATATTATCAGTGATTAATAAGAAAACTTGTGACTTTACCGGTTGAGTGATCAATGATCTAACAGTATTATTCGGTGAAAGGAAGAAACTAGTTTCAGAAAATCTATATAGAAAAATAGAAAAAAATATTTATATCAATATATAATTACAGTAAGTACCGGCAAGATTTTTTTCGATGAATGAAGTTTGATAGTTGCTAAGCGATATGATAAAAGCTTGGAAAATCTGCAAATTTTTGACGTCTTACATTTACGGTTGTGAAAATATTGATTGATTTAATTGATTTGCAAAAAAAAATTTTATTTATTTAGGTATTTAACTTTACAGCTTAAGAAAATTACAGGAAAACAATTTAATAATGAATAATTCTAATTACAACGTTGACGAGGAAATTGAAATGATTGAATGTAAGTATTTTTCATTGTTTAAAAATTATCTTTTTATTTTTTTATTACCTTTGATAATTTTTTGAATACTTTAAAATGTTTTTAATTTAGAAAAATATGATTTCTTTTTAAACATGATAAATTATTAACATTTTTTATAATTATAAAAAGGTGACGTAAATGGAAAATAATTTTTTTCGAAAATTATTAATTAATTTATTTTTATTTACAGCACAAGGCGATGTCGAACCAGTAAATACAACAAATGTTAATTCCAGTAATCTTTCTTTGCAACAAAGAATTTTCGCTCATCATACACGTCACTTGCCGTCTAGAAGAATAGGTAAATATTTTTTGTAATTGACTTTGTTTAATATTATTTGAATTAATTTAATTTAGTCAAATTATTAAATTTTATTATATAAAAAATCTAATTTTTAATTTTATTTAAAATTTGTTTTGATTTTAATATTTATTTTATTAGTTAAAATTTTTTTGAGTCGGATGAAATTAATGTGAGAAATTGAAATTTTTTTTTTAGTGACATTAGCGAACAGTAGAAATGAAGGTTTAAATGAACTTTCCTCATTTATTCCTGAATCGACATTGCGTGTAACAAGAATGAGAAATTTACCTTTGGAGGATCATGCAACTGTGATAGCAAATCATATTGAAAAAAATGATGATCTTATGCAAAATGATCCACACTCAGAGCTTTTGCGAAGTGAAATTTTACGAGACATGCCACAATGTTTAACTGTAAAGCGAACAGTTAAAGCAAAATTGAGTTATAGTGCTAGTCAAAAATTAAAGAAGAAACATGTTGGATATTTGAAACGTCTCAAATATAGAATTAGTATGTCTTTCCAAAAGGTAAATAATACTTATTTACAAAACATTAATACTTATTTTTCAATCTTAAAAAAGATAATTAATTTATTAATATAATATTTTAACAGTTTAAAATAGCTTTGCGTGAAATATGTTCACAAATAGAATTATGGTATCATCCAATAAAGTCGATAGAAGGACAATTTGGAAGTGGGATAGCAACATATTTTAAATTTCTACGATGGCTGTTTCTTATTAACATAATTACTTGTTTATTAAGGTAAAATAAATGAATTATTCCTGATAACATTGACATTCGATTTCTAAAAATTCAATTTTATATTAGAGAATTAAAAAATACGTAAATGTTTTTCTTTTTACAGTGTATCTTTTATAATTATACCACAATCTTTAATTAGAACAAATTTAGACAATTCTTTTCGTTTTGAGGATCTATTACTTGGGAATGTGAGTATAAAATATTTTTTAATTTTAATTTTTAAACAAAATTTAATTATCTAACGAGAAAATTAAATTTCAGGGATTTCTCACAAATTCGTTAATGTATTATGGATTTTATTCAAACCAAAGTGTAAAAATGTTGCCAACTAATACGTATAATATTCCTTCGGCTTATTTTTTGACATTAAGTTTCTGTTATTTATTCACTTTCATCCTTCTTTGTTGCAAGTAAGTGATAATTTTTGTTTTTTTAAGTTTTATTTAATTTATAAAAATATTTTTTTATAACTTTCATGATGAAATTTTTTATTTCTAGAGTGGCAAATTCGTATAGAAAATCTTTTATTGAAACATCAGGAGGTATTTATAATCAGTATGCAATGAAAATTTTTTGTGGTTGGGATTTTGGTATTTCATCGTATAAAGCTGCAAAATTATGTTCTGCTTCAATATACAGAGAATTAAAAGAACTTCTCGGCGAAGCAGAAAATGATGTTGACATGTCGTGTTTAACGAAATTTTTAACAATTTCCATTCAAATTCTAATGACAATATTGGTTCTTGCAATGATTGCTGGCACAGGTGGATTATTATGGATTTTGCTCAATCAACATAAAGCAGACATGACAAATGTTTGGTCAGTTTTAATGGTGCCTTTGGTTGTCACTGGAATTATGAATATTTTTCCTTCTCTTATTTCTTGGTTTGTAAGTAATTGAAAAATTTTACTTAATTTTATTAGTTTCTGTTTTTAACGGAATAAATAAAAAAAAACAATTATTTGAGTTTAATGAAAACTGGATTTCAGGCAAAAATGGAAAAATATAGCAACGATCGAATTGCATTGTACGTGACAGTAATTAGAATGTATACAATGGCATTGGTTGTGATTGGTACATTATTAACATTTTGGATAACAAGAGGAAATTTTGATTGTTGGCAAACGCAATTGGGTCAAGAAATTTATCGATTGATTCTCATTGATTTTATAATATCGGTTTTTGGTGTTTTAGTCGTTCAAATGATACGTTCACGACTTTGTACAACATTTGGAAAAAATATTTGTTCACCGAAATTTGATATTGCACGAAATACCATGAATTTAATTTATAATCAAACATTATTTTGGGTGGCATTTTATTTTAGTCCAATGATGTCAGTGGTTATTGTTGTGAAAATGATATTGACCTTTTATATAAAGAAATTTGGACTCGTTATGTTTTGTGAACCACCATCGAAACCATGGCGAGCTGCTCAAAGTCAAACAATTTTTTTGGCTTTGGCACTTTTGGGAATGGTTGGCTCTTTAATTGTTTTGGGTTTTGTCACAATTTATAAGACAACCGGCGATTGTGGTCCATTTAATGCTCATAATTTTATTTGGGAAGTTTTCGCTGAAGAAGTTTTATTAGTGAAGAGGAATAGTGTAATTTGGTCTATTTGCGAACAACTCGTTGGCGTTGGATCGATGAGTATTATTCTTCTGATTATGTGGTGAGAATTATTAATTACCGTTTCATTATACATTAATTTTTTTAAAACTAATAATTAACATTTTTTTAGCATATCTGTTTATTACGTGCGTGCAAAAGCCATAGCCACAAAAGAAATGGTTCAAATTCTACGTGAAATGTTGGTGATGCAGTCACGGGATAAGGAATTTTTATTAAAAGGATTTACTCAATTTTCCAGCAAAGGTCAGAAAATCATTTTAAAATATTTTAGCAACCAATTTTAGGGTGTCTAACGATTTTTCAAAAATTTTTAATCTTAAATTTTTTTTAATAATTAATTAATAATTATTTGATAAAAATTGTAAATTTGATAAATTGTTCAATTTTTCTTAATTCAAAAAATATCATTTAAAAACAAAAATCTTTCTTAAGTTTAGTATTATATTCTTTTTATCATTTGCTATTTTGCCATTAGGTTTGCGTAGCTCATTGCGTGATCAACAAAGAGAAAAATCTTTTAAAGAAAAAAATAAAGAGAATACATCTTTATGTGCTGGCCCATCGAATGCCGAATATTAAGTTCCAAAAATATAAAAAAAATATTTTATAAACAATTTAAAGACTGTATTTAGCCAAATTAAGAATTGTTAAATATTTTACAAGTTTAAAAATTACTTTTTATTTTCAAATAGGTACTGAATATACTTTTTGCTGTAACAAAAAGTAATTAATATATTTATTATGTTTAAGAAATTATAATATTTTATAATATAGTTTATATTAAATTATAATCGCAAGAAATTTTTGGTTATTTCCGTAACTATGACGATTTTATTGATCAAACAGTATATGACTTAACCTTTTGACACTTTATTTGTGTGAAATTTATAAAAAAAAAAAATTCTTTCTTAATTTTAAAGTAATTTTTTTTATAAAAATGTGATAAATACTTTTATTGGAGATATTTTTCTATTATATTTTTGTATAATTGAAATAGAAGAAATTACAATAAATATTTTCAATTGCAAAATTTTTGAAATAAATTCAAAAAATGGAAAAGGATTGTTTAAGCAAACAAAATATTGCTGGAAAAAGTGATTCAGTTGGCAGTGATTTGCAAAAATTTTCTGATTTATTAAAAAATCAATGTTGGACTGAATTAGTGCCTCTTAGAATTTGTCACAATCATGAGAAACCATCAAAAATTATTTGTAACACTTTTACTCAAAATATTTATAAATATCCAACAAAATATCGAAAACAAAAGGAAATAAAAATTCCATTACAATGGAGACCTTTAGATCAAAATGGAAAACTTATTTATCCATCAATACAGTGTATTACAGAATATGAGGAAAAAATGAAGCAAAAATTGGAGAAAAAATCCATGAATTTGGAATCAATATCAAATAATATTATAACATTACAAGAATTAGCTGAAGAAAAAAGAAATTTCAAATCAAAAAGAAGGAGAGTGAAAAAAGAACAGAAAGATCCAAGGATTTTTGAAAAAGAGGTGAATCATTGATGAATATTTATTTTTTATCTGTGTTTTAAATCAAATAGATAAGATTCTTATTTATGGTGAATATTTTATTTTTCCTTACTATTAATTAAATTTTTCAGATTTTACGAAGAAGGGAAGCCGAAGCTCCTCGTGATATTGAAAATCAATTAAATGAATTACATTCCCTTATAAGAAGGAATCAAGAGACAAAAATTAAAGAAGAAGATATTTGCAAATTAATACAATTAAGGCAATGCATCGATGATTCTCAATTGGAACCATACGACTATTCTAATTTCGAAGAGATACGAAAGAGAATTGTTGGAAAATTGAGAAAACGATTCGAGTAAGTTTTTAACTTTTGCTTTTTTCCACCCTCTGAATCATTAATTTTTTTCTATATAAAAATATTTTTTATTTCTAAATGGAAAATAATTTTTCTCAACGATTTCAGTTTTATCGCAAAAACATTAGAATTAGAATCAGAAATTGTCAATGATTACAAAGAGAGTCTTCGTACTGCGATAGTTGACTTTATATTGCAAGATTCTGAAAAAAGGAAACTCTTGCAAATTGAAAAAGTACCTGTTGCATTTCCAATTTTCAATATACGAGCACCTGTCCCTTGGCACCAGATGAAAGTCATTTCTGAGCATTTTATGCAACACAATCTTTTCATAGGAAATGAGATTCCAAGGGAAATTCGAAATTTATGGGATCGAAGGTAAACATTTTTTTTGCGAAAAAAATACAATTTTTTTCCGCAGGTATGTAATACAATATTTCCTTTCTTTTTATAGCTATAATACAATGATGATTATTAAAATCGATGATTTTGGAACACTTCCAATTCCTGCTTTAGAAATACAATCGCAAGTTAATTGTATTTGTCGAGCTACAAGTAGAAAATTGATAAATGAATGGCTTGCCGATGTTGCTGAGATATTTCTCGAAAATAAAAATGCATGGTCAAATTATTTTGAAAAAAGTTCATCGGCCTCATTGAAAATAATTGAAAAATATTTTCGTACCATTAATGCACTTTTATCGAAACAATTACGTTCAATGGTGATTAAAACTTTGAGACATTTGCGAGATTTTTTCGTCAAGTATAATAATGGAAATACTTTTAATGGCGATTATCAAGATTTAATGTTTACTCGGTATGTATTTTATTTATCTTTGAATACTTTTTAATATATCTTAATTATTAATTATCTTTTAATATTGATAAAATGATTTTTTTTTTTATTTAGTACTCCTTTTATGACAATTGCAGTTGATATTAAATTTGGAACAAATGATTTGATATTGAAACCAAGTGTTGTGGAAATGCAAAATATATTGTCAATTTGTTTCGATGAAATAATTTCCGTTGCCGCTAAAGTTCCAAAAATTGAGACAATTTTATTTCCTGAATTTGAGAACGAGGGATTTCTTTCCCCTGTTTTAAGAGAAGAAGAGAAGGTATTTTTTTTTTTTTTTGGTTTAAAGTAATTAAAATTAAATTACAAATTTAGAATAAAAATTTATTTATCATTACAAAATTTATTTTAGGTCTCAAAAATAGTTAATGAAGCCTTAAATGTTGTCGCTGTTAATATAAATGGACCAAATTTATATTTAAAATCTTATGACAATCTTTTGTACATTATCAATGGATCTGCGAAGGAAAAATTAAATGAATATTTCACTCTTGATCCTTTTCCCTCTTTGCGTGAATTCGGGCACAAAATCGAGGATCTCGATGAACTTAGCCAGAAAATTTGTCTATTTCGAAATAAGGTATTTACTTTTTTTGAAAGAAATTTTTAATTTTATATCTACATTTTAAATTTTATTTTATTTGTTCTCACAGATTCCATTGAATTTGATCGAGATGGATTGCTCTTTCGTTAACGAGTCAATGCGACGAATTTTATTTGACGATCTTCGAACAAGTATCTGTGACTATTTTCTAAATGAATTGCGTACGAATAATCAGCGTTTATGTAAAATTTTCGACGAAATTGCAAGTCGAATATCAGGAATGCCTGAAACAACACAAGAAGTTGTGGAATTGATTAATTATCTTATTGAGAGTAGAGATACAACAATGTTCAATTTACGTGGTGATCTTTCACATTCGGCAGAAATGATTTTATTTCTCTTCAATTATCATCCATTGATTGACGAGGATATTCATCTAAATACAAGAACACTGACATGGCCAAAAGAAATGGAAACAGTTATGGATCTTGCGAATGTTCGATTGAATATGAGAAAAGATTTTGTCGAAGGTGTTCTTAAAGTGAGAAAAGAAAATTTTGAGCAGAGAATTACAAAAATGAAAGAGATTTTAGATCAATTTAAAAAGAAAGATCCACCTGTTTTACGTATGGAGGAAATGGAAGAGGCTGTTGTGGAAATTGAAGATATCTCTCGTCAAATGACGGATATTTCGAATGAGGCATTACGAATTAATGAGGAAGAAGTTTTATTGGATTTGGAAATTAGTCCCTATATTACATTACCGGGAATGTCAAATACTGTGGATATTTTTGATAAACTTTGGCATACAGTTTTATTGTTTCATCAGAATTATGAGAAGTGGTTTTATGGATCATTTGTTGGGCTTGATGCGGATGCGATACTTGAAGAGACGGATAATACGTGGAAAATTTTGTATAAACTTTCAAGAGCTCTCACTGACGTTGCTGGAGCAAGACGAGTTGCCGAAATGGTACGTGGAAAAGTTGAGAAATTCAAACAATTTCTACCAGTTTTGCAGACAATTTGTAATCCTGGCTTGCAATCACGACATTGGGAACAAATAAGTAAAGTTGTTGGTGTTTCAATAGTGCCAACAGAAAATAGTAGTCTTTCACAAATGATTGATTATGGTCTTCCAATTTATATAAATCAGCTTGAGGAAATATCGTCCGCCGCTACGAAGGAGCATGCACTGGAGAAGAATTTAAAGAAAATGCAAGAGGAATGGTTGCAAATTGTTTTTGATTTGAGTCCATATCGTGAGACAGGTGTATCTGTTTTGTCAGCCGTTGATGATATTCAAGTATTACTTGATGATCATATTCTGAAAGCACAAACAATGCGAGGATCACCTTTCATTAAGGCTTTTGAACATGAAATGCAATCGTGGGAAGAGAAACTTATTTTAATGCAAGATATTATTGATCAATGGCTCATGTGTCAAGCAACTTGGATGTATTTGGAACCAATTTTTAGTAGTGAGGATATTATGAGACAAATGCCAACAGAGGCGAAAAATTTTCGCAAAGTTGATAAAATATGGCGATCAATAATGATATACGTGACGGAGAATAAAAAAGTTACTGTTGCAACGGGAATGCCAAAAATGTTGGATCAATTTAAATTTTGTAATCAACTTCTCGATGAAATTCAAAAAGGATTAAACGACTATTTGGAGAAGAAGAGATTATTTTTTCCAAGATTTTTCTTTTTGTCAAATGATGAATTATTGGAAATTTTGTCAGAAACGAGAGATCCACAGAGAGTGCAGCCACATTTGAAAAAATGTTTTGAGGGTATTAGTTCGTTGCGTTTTACAAAAGAGGCGGAAATAATTGGTATGTTATCTGATGAAGAGGAATATGTGCCAATGAGTGGAAAAATTTGTCCAGCTGACGCTAAAGGAATGGTGGAAAAATGGCTATGTCAAGTTGAGGAATTAATGAAGAGTTCGTTGAGAGATATTGCGCAAGATAGTGTAATAGCATATTTCTCGAGTACAAGGGAGGAATGGATTTTATCATGGCCGGGTCAAATTGTCCTTTGTGCGAGTCAAATTCATTGGACTTGTGAGGTGGTCGATTCATTTCAGGAAAATACCACGAGCAATGTTTTGGAAAAATGTAGTTCTCAAATTGATAAAACTGTTTCGCTTGTGAGAGGTAAATTGGAACCGGGAGCAAGGATTACAATGAATGCATTGATAGTAATTGATGTTCATGCACGTGATGTAGTGAAATTATTATTGGAGAAGAAGGTGCAAAATGAAATGGATTTCAACTGGATTTCGCAGCTTCGATATTATTGGTTAAATTCGAGTATCACTGTCTCGATGATCACAACCGATGTTGTTTATGGATTTGAATATTTGGGAAATTCGGCAAGATTGGTGATCACACCACTTACTGATCGATGTTATAGAACTTTAATGGGAGCATTGAAACTTAATCTTGGTGGTGCTCCGGAAGGTCCAGCGGGAACGGGAAAAACGGAAACTTGTAAAGATTTGGCAAAAGCAGTGGCTAAACAGTGTGTTGTTTTTAATTGTTCGGAAGGATTGGATTACATGGCAATGGGAAAATTTTTTAAAGGTCTTGCTCAATCGGGCGCTTGGGCATGTTTCGATGAATTTAATCGTATTGATCTTGAGGTACTTTCGGTGATTGCACAACAAATTCTCACAATACAAATGGCGATTGGAACAAAAGTGGAGAGATTTATTTTCGAAGGAACTGAAATAAAACTCAATCCAACGTGTAATGTTTTTATAACAATGAATCCTGGTTATGCTGGACGTCAGGAGTTGCCAGATAATTTGAAAGTTTTGTTTCGAACAGTCGCGATGATGGTGCCTGATTATGGAATGATTGGCGAGATAACACTCTATTCGTATGGATTTGTTGATGCTAGGAGTTTGGCTGATAAAATTGTTCATACTTATAAACTTTGCTCGGAACAGTTAAGTTCGCAGAATCATTATGATTATGGAATGAGAGCTGTAAAAACTGTTTTAATAGCGGCTGGTAATTTGAAATTAAAATTCAATCAACAAAATGAATCGGTATTGGTTCTGAGGGCAATTGTTGATGTGAATCTTCCGAAATTTCTTGCTCAGGATGTTCCGTTGTTTAATGGAATTTATAGTGATTTATTTCCGGGTATTGAATTACCAAAACCTGATCGTGACGTGTTGATTGAACTTTTGAAGAGTAATTTAATTAAAAGAAATCTTCAACCAACGCCATGGTATATTGGAAAGATTATTCAAATTTATGAGATGATTCTCGTTCGTCATGGATTGATGATTGTTGGCGAACCACTGGGAGGGAAAACGCAAGCTTATCAAACTTTAGCTGCCGCTCTCGGGGATCTTTTTGTCGCTTCTAGCGATATTTATGCCAAGAAAGCGATTATGAGAGAATTTCGCACAATTTACAGGTAAAAGAAAATTAAATCTTAGGAATTAATTAAATTTACAAATTTTTATCTTTTTTTTTTTTTAAACAGAATTATCAATCCAAAGGCAATAACTCTAGCTCAATTGTACGGAAGTTTCGATCCAGCTTCTCATGAATGGAGCGATGGAATTTTGGCCAATACCTTTAGGGAGTTTGCTCAATCTACTTCTTTGGAACGCAAGTGGATAATGTTTGACGGTCCAGTGGATGCTGTGTGGATTGAAAATATGAATACTGTTTTGGATGATAATAAAAAATTATGCTTAATGTCGGGTGAAATAATACAAATGTCAAATAAGATGAATTTAATTTTTGAACCAGCTGATCTTGAACATGCTTCACCGGCAACTGTCAGCCGATGTGGAATGATTTATTTAGAACCTTCTCAATTGGGTTGGATTGCTTTTTATGAATCGTATAAAAAATCATTGAAGGAGAAATTACTTGTGGAACAATTTGAATTGGTTATGGAAATTATTGAGTGGCTTATTGATCCAGTATTAAATTTCATCAAGTATAATTGCAAGACTTTTATTGAAACTTCAGATCTTCATATGTTTTTGGTGAGTAGAAATTACAAAAAATTGGAGTTATTTTATTTAATAAAAATTGAAAATTATTTTAGTCATTTACAAGATTATTGAGTACAATGTTAGAAGGAGAAACACAAGTGAGTACAGTTTGGCTCCAATGTATATTATTGTTCAGCATTGTTTGGGGAATTTGTTCAACTTTAATCAGCGATAGCAGAAAACATTTTGACAATTTTTTTCGATCACTGTTGAATGGCTCAATAGAAGAAAATCCAAAACCAAAAGTTTTTAAATTAACAAGACAACAACTTTTTCCCGAAAGAGGAACAGTCTTTGATTGGTTTTATGATAAGCGGAATAATGGTAGTTGGATCTCATGGATGGATACGATGACACCGGTAAATTATTTATGAAAAAACTAGATATGATTTTGTAATAATAAAATATTTATTTTCAGCCAACTTTCCCGTCTAATGCAAAAGTGAGTGATTTAATTATTCAAACGAATGAAATGTCGATACAGCATTTTTTTGTGACAAATTTACTTCAACGATCGATTCCAATTTTATTTGTTGGACCAACAGGAACGGGAAAATCGGCAATAGTTTTAAACTATATGCTATCGTTGCCAAAGGAAAAATTTATTCAAAATGTGGTGAATTTTAGCGCACGAACGACGGCTGCACAAACGCAGGAAATAATAATGTCAAAATTAGATCGACGTAGAAAAGGTGTTTATGGACCTGCAATGGGAAAAAAATCGATTCTGTTTGTCGATGATTTAAGTATGCCACAAAAAGAAACATATGGAGCACAACCACCAATTGAATTACTTCGTCAGTGGATTGATCATGGACATTGGTTTCATTTAAAGGACACGACAATGTTATATCTTGTTGATATTCTATTGATTGCTGCAATGATTCCACCTGGCGGTGGTTCGAATTTAGTTACATCTCGATTTACACGTCATATGCATATCGTGGGTATTGATTCATTTGAAGATGCGACAATGACAAGAATATTTTCCTCTATTCTCGAATGGCATTTTGCTAAAGGATTTGATGCTAATGTGACAAGACTGGCAAAAATGATTGTCACTGCAACAATGAATGTTTTTCAGGAGGCAATCAAGAATTTTTTACCAATTCCAGCAAAGAGTCATTATTTATTTAATCTTCGTGATTTTAGTCGTGTTATTAATGGAATTGTTCTTGTGCCTGCGTCACATATGAAAAATCCGGATAAATTGATTAAACTCTGGGTTCATGAAGTTTATCGAGTATTTCATGATCGATTAATAGATGAAGATGATCGTGATATTCTTTTTAGAATAGTCAAGCACACTTGTTATGATCATCTTCGACAACCATTGGAAAAAATTCTCGATAATTTTCTAAATGAAGGAGAAACTAACATTACCAAGATTCACGTTAGAGATCTTTTTTTTGGCAATTATATGGATCCGGATGCGGAGCCAAAAATTTATGACGAGATTAATGATCTTAATGATCTTCAGGAGAAAATGGATTACTATCTCTCGGAATATAATATGATTTCAAAAACTCCAATGTCTTTGGTATTATTTCGATATGCTGTGGAACATATTTCGAGAATTTCTCGTATTCTTCTTCAGGATAATGGACACGCTCTTCTTGTGGGAATAGGAGGATCGGGACGAAGTTCATGCGCTAAATTAGCGACAAGTATGTGTGAATATGTGATGCAACAAATTGAAATTACACGAAATTATGGACAAAATGAATGGAGAGATGATTTAAAGGCACTATTGCTGAAAGTTGGAATCGATGGAAAACGTACGGCTTTTCTTTTTGGTGATAATCAAATTAAAGACGAGGCATTTGTCGAGGATATTAATATGATTCTCAATACGGGTGATGTGCCAAATCTTTATGTCACCGAGGAGAAAGCGGAAATTCTCGATAAAATGATGAATGCAGTGAGAGATAGTGGAGCAAAGAAAATGGAAACAACACCAATGGCACTTTATAATTTTTTCATTGAAAGAATTCGTAAGAATCTTCATATTATTTTGACAATGTCACCAATTGGTGATGCATTTAGAACACGATTGAGAATGTTTCCATCGTTGATTAATTGTTGTACAATTGATTGGTTTACTGTTTGGCCTGAGGATGCATTAGAGAGGGTTGCACAAACTTTTCTCAAGGATTTGAATATTGGATCTGAGGTACGTGATAAATGTGTAATTATTTGTAAACAATTTCATACGAGTGTTGATCGTGCAAGTGAGAATTATTTTCGAACACAACATCGTAGGAATTATGTGACACCGACAAGTTTTTTGCAATTGATTAAATCGTTGTATAAATTTTACGGTGAGAAAGTGGAACAAATCACGAAACAGCAATATCGTTATGAAACGGGTTTGGAAAAATTGGATTTTGCCGCTGGACAAGTTGTAATTATGCAGGATGAATTGCATGCACTACAACCAAAACTTGTGGCACAATCGCAATTGAGTGATAAATTGATGATAAGAATTGAGCAGGATACTATTAATGTTGAAGCTAAGAAGGAAGTTGTTGCAGCCGATGAAGCATTAGCTAATGAAGCGGCAGCTGCTGCTCAGGCTATTAAAGATGATTGTGAAAGTGATTTGGCTGAAGCGACACCGGCTTTGGAAGCCGCTTTGGCTGCTTTGGATACTTTAAAACCGGCGGATATTACGATTGTTAAATCAATGAAAAATCCACCAGCTGGCGTTAGATTGGTTATGGAAGCCGTTTGTGTTTTAAAGGGAATTAAACCAGATCGAGTTCAAGATTTGGCAACGACACAAACAATGGAAGATTATTGGCCAGCTTCAATAAGAATGCTTGGTGATATGAAATTTTTGGATGGTTTGAAAACTTTTGACAAGGATAATATACCACCAATTAATATGAAAAAAATTCGCGATAGATATATGAATGATCGTGGTTTTCAACCGGAAGTTATTAAAAAAGTGTCAACAGCTTGTGAGGGTCTTTGTAAATGGGTAAGAGCAATGGAAGTTTATGATCGAGTGATTAAAGTGGTGGCACCAAAGAAGGCAATGCTTGCCGAAGCTGAGGGAAAATTGGCAATTCAAATGGAAATGTTGAATGCCAAGAGAAATCTTTTGCAGGAAGTTACGGGAAAATTGCAACAATTGAATGATGAATTTGCTGAATGTATGAGGGAAAAGAAGAAACTTGAGGATGCGATTGATATGACAATGCAAAAATTAGATAGAGCGGAAAAATTATTGGGCGGTTTGGGTGGTGAGAAGACGAGATGGAGTCAAACTGCCGAGGCTCTTGGTTCAAGTCTTCAAAATGTGATTGGAGATGTTTTATTGGCTTCAGGAGTTGTCGCTTATTTAGGAGCATTTACTGTTGACTATAGAATTAGTTTACTTCAGGAATGGCATAAATCTTGTGTGGAAATGGAAATTCCCCGAAGTTCGAGATTTAGTTTGGTTGAGATTCTTGGAGAGCCAGTGGAAATTCGCTCATGGATGATTCATGGATTGCCTGCCGATAATTTTTCCGTGGAAAATGGTATAATTATCAAGAGTGCTGATCGATGGCCACTGATGATAGATCCACAGGTAAGAAAATATTTTTTTAATTTCTTTTTTGATTATACAAATTTTTGGAATCATTTTTTTTTCAGGGTCAGGCGAATAAATGGATAAAATCCATGGAGAAGGAGAATAAATTATCAGTGATCAAATTAACAGATTCGAATTATGTCCGTGTTTTGGAAACGGCAATTCAAATGGGAAATCCAGTTCTATTGGAAAATATCCTGGAGGAGATTGACGCTATTTTGGAGCCAGTACTTTTGAAAAATATCTACAAGCAACAAGGTGTTTTCTATTTGAAATTTGGCGAGGATGTTCTCGAGTATGATACGAATTTTCGTTTTTATATAACAACACGTCTTCGTAATCCACATTATTTGCCGGAGACTGCGGTAAAAGTGACGATTTTGAATTTTATGATAACTCTACAAGGTCTACAGGATCAATTATTGGGAATTGTTGTGGCCAAGGAATTGCCAATACTTGAGGAGAAAAAAAATCAACTAATTGTCGAGGGAGCAAATAATAAACGAATTTTAAAAGAAATTGAGGATAAAATTCTTGAAGTACTCTCAACATCGGAGGGTAATATTCTCGAGGATGAAACAGCAATAAAAATTCTTTCATCATCAAAACTTTTGTCAGAGGATATTCAAAATAAACAAAAAATAGCGGCAAAAACTTCTGATGAAATTGATGAGGCGAGAAATGGTTATAAAGTTGTATCACGTCATGGAGCTGTTCTTTTCTTTTGTATTTCGGAACTTGCGAATATTGATCCAATGTATCAATATTCCCTGCCTTGGTTTATACATCTTTATATTATGGCAATTACTAATAGTAAAAAATCAAAAGACTTGGCGGATCGAATGAAAAATTTGAATGATTATTTTACGCAGAGTATTTATCGAAATGTATGTCGTTCTCTTTTTGAAAAGGACAAATTGATATTTTCGCTTGTTCTTTGTGTTGGAATTATGAGATCGGAGGGAAAATTGGAAGAGGATTTATGGACATTTTTATTAACTGGCGGTGTTGCTTTGCAGAATCCGTATCCTAATCCAGATCCTTCGTGGCTAATGGAAAAATCCTGGTCCGAGATTGTGAGAGTTTCACAATTACTAGATTTAATAGAATTGAAAAAGTCATTCGAGACATTCACCTCAAAATGGAAGGATTATTATGATTTGTCAAATCCACAGGAAAATAATTTCCCACCGCCATTTGAGAATGAGATCAACAGTTTAAAGAAATTAGTCATTCTTCGATGTATTAGACCTGATAAACTTGTGTCTGCAACTCAAAGTTTTATTATTCATTATATGGGTCAATCATTCATTGAACCACCACCTTTTGATCTTCAGGACTCGTATAATGATTCAAGTAATATTTCACCATTGGTATTTATTCTTTCGTCTGGATCTGATCCAATGACGGGATTAATTAAATTTGCTGAGGACAAAGGTATGGCGAAAAAAAATCTCATGTCCATTTCTCTTGGTCAAGGACAAGGACCAATTGCTGCTGAAATGATTAATAAAGGCATTAAATCAGGTGAATGGGTTATTTTACAAAATTGTCATTTGGCTGAGTCGTGGATGAAGGAATTGGATCGAATATGTGATGAGATCATTACATCAGAGAATACACATCAGAAATTTCGAATATGGCTAACGAGTTATCCGTCGAAATCGTTTCCTGTTTCAATTTTGCAAAATGGAGTGAAAATGACAAATGAAGCGCCAAAAGGTTTAAAGAATAATTTACTGCGAAGCTACACGAATGATCCTATATCGGATACAAAATTCTATAATATTTGTCCAAAAATTAACGAGTGGCGAAATCTTCTTTTTTCACTTTGCTTCTTTCACGCTGTGGTCCAAGAACGACGGAAATTCGGTCCTCTCGGCTGGAATATTCCCTATGAATTCAATGAATCTGATTTACGAATCAGTGTTCTACAATTACAGGTGAAATTGATTTACATTTTTTTTCAATTAAAAATATAAATCATTTTTTTTTTTATTAATTGATTGTTTTCAGATGTTTTTGAATGATTACGAAGACGTGCCGTTTGATGCTTTACTTTATTTAACCGGCGAGTGTAATTATGGAGGAAGAGTCACTGACGACAAGGACAGAAGATTATTAAATTCTTTATTAAAAATTTACTATAATAAAGAAGTAATTTCAAATCAAGCGTACTCCTTTTCACCGAGTAAAATTTATCATCTTCCAAAAAATACAAATCACTTGGATTGTCTCAGTTATATTCGTAATTTACCGATAAATCAATTGCCAGAAGTTTATGGTTTACATGAAAATGCCGATATAACGAAGGACAATAAAGAATCAATGGAACTTCTCGAGGGAGTTTTATTAACTCAAATTCAAATAACAAGCGTTGGAGCCGAAGGTGATATTGAATCGATTGTTTCGAATCTTGCAATAAATATTCTATCAAATATGCCAGAACAATTTGATGTTGGAAATATTTCAAAAAAATATCCTGTTCTTTATATAAACAGTATGAATACAGTTTTACGACAGGAATTGATAAGATTTAATAGACTTACGGCTGTGATTAAGAGTACATTGAAAAATATTCAGAAAGCTATTAAAGGTGAAGTTGTAATGTCACCAGATTTGGAGGAAGTTTTTTATAGTATCAGTATTGGAAAAGTTCCGAGTATTTGGGACAAAAAATCTTATCCATCACTAAAACCACTTGGGAGTTATGTGAACGATTTAATAGCCAGGATTTTATTTCTTCAAGAATGGATCGATAATGATGCGCCTGTCGTTTTTTGGATATCAGGCTTTTTCTTCACGCAATCGTTCTTAACTGGAGTGTTGCAAAATTACGCTCGTAAACACACGATACCTATCGATCATTTGGATTTTGAATTTGAAGTTACTTCAATGGAAACGAATGTCAAAACCTCTCCTTCCAGTGGTGTTTATATAAAAGTATTTTTTTTTTTAATTTTGGTTTAATATTTAAAATATTAGTTACAATTTTTAAAGTATTGATAAAAATCAGTTCTCAAAATTTTGTAAATTTTTTTACTAGAAGAATAACTATTTTTTTTTTTAAATTATGAACTAATTATTTTCAGGGATTATTTTTGGAAGGCTGCAGATGGAATAGAGAAAAAATGGAGCTGGATGAATCAAAGCCAAAAATTATGTTTGATACAGTACCAATAATTTGGTTGAAACCGGGAATTAAAGAACAATTTAAAATTTCAAACGTTTATAATTGTCCGGTTTATAAAACAAGTGCAAGACGAGGTATTTTGGCGACAACAGGACATTCGTCAAATTTTGTTATGTACATTTTTTTACCATCAAAATTAGAAGAGTCACATTGGATTAATCGTGGAGTCGCGTGTCTTTGTCAACTTGATGATTGAATTTTTTTTTTTCGAGATATTCTCTCTCGCGAGGTAAATATATTTTTTTATTTTTTATATTCTATAGAGAAAGTAGATAATTAATGATATAGATAAGAAATTATTTAAAATTATAAATAAAGTAAATAAAATTAAATAAAATAAGTTGTTCATTTAGTGCAACGTTTTATTACTATTTTATTTGTAATAGATTTAAAAAAAACTTTCGAATTATTTAAAATTATATTTTTTTCTTCTAATGACTGAAATCGTTTATATTTTCGTAAAATTTATTTAATTTTCTTTTTAAAAAAAACACTTAAATTTTTTTTTTAATTTATTACGTATTATTAATTTACAAAAAAATTTTAATTGTTATTATAATTATTTATATAATCTCATTACAGATTAATATTAATATATTTATAATATTTAATATTTATAATTTATTAATAATTTATTTATTTTTATTTCCTTTATTTTATATTATTAAATAACTCATTTTTTCTTGTTGGTTTCTAATTAATTATTTAGCATGCAAAATTTTTGTTTAATTAATAATTAATTTATTAATTTTTTGTATTGTGTAAAGTATTTTTTTAAAATTTATTTTATTCTCATAATTGTTTAATTACGTTTGATTTTTTATTTTCATTGTTATTATAATTGTCTCAACAGTTTTATTATTACTTATAATTGATTATTTATAATTAGTATATAATTTATTGTATTCAATTTTATACAATGTTTGAATGAATTTCAAATTTTCCCGCCGGTATGCATTTACAAGTCGCAGCGCCATCTGCATTGAAGTCAGCCGAGGTAAACACTAAAAATATAGGTTAAGTTGAAACATGTCTATCTAAATATCAAAGTCCTTAGTTCTAATAGCACTTATAAATTTATTACTCCACGAGTTTTGTTAGTTAAATAATGATTATTTTTCTTAATAGAGTCAATTAACATTGTGTCTAGATATGATTTTCTTTACGGATAGTGTAAAAAAAAATGTTCGCATTACTGTAGTAAATTTTTGTTATTCGTGATGGCATGACCGGGCCTATATACTTTTCCAAAAAAAAAAAGAAAAAATTCTTTGTAATATTATTTTAAATTTGTGGCAAGCTTATGTGTATATTCACATGTGTTTAGTGTATTTTGCGAAATTAAGAAGCATTGATATTTTTAAAATTTGGTAAGTATATTTACAAAATATCTATACAAAGGTAGTATTGCCGTCTTTTTCTCAAGGTTGTTATCTGCTCTTGTGGCAAAGCCGATGGTTCATTGACCTTGACTTCGTAACAAATAAACGAGTTTTGAATTGATTTACACAAGAGTCGCAAAGTCTAGTTAATCATAAATCTATTTTGCATTATTAAATTTTTTCCAAATCCATTATACATACAATGCATGAATTGACGATTCTAACCTAAGTTTTTTGTGCGAATTTATATATTATCCTTTATAACCGGTTGTTTTTCAAAGGATTTCAAGCTTGTCTGAACCTGTTTATTTCAAGGTTGAAGGTTAATTATAATGTTTTGATTATTGTATAAATTAGGCAAATAATCATATTGAGAAAGGGTCGAAATTTTACATATTTCTGAAAATGTGTATATATGCATACACAAGGAATTTAATTCTAACCTAACTTTTTAATTCTATATCAAAGAAAAAGTGAGAATTAAAAAGGAAAAGTGTTTATTTAATTGTAAAAATTTATTTTTACATGCGATATTAGAACTATCAGGCAACCTGGTTTCATTTAGTAATTTTAAACCAGGTTTCAAGAATGGCAATCCAACCAGTTTATTTCAGTAGTAGGTTTCCAAGTTGTGAAAATTGTTTTCAATTTTTTTTTTCTTGGTATATATATATAGAATCTAATTGCTTTTAGTTAATTGGAAATTAATTTTTTAATACACTCATAATTTTTTTGCTTTTATTTAAAATTATTATTTATTTAGTATTTTTATTAAACTTTGATATTTCTAGTTTATTTTTTTTTTATTGTAATAATCATTTTTCTGAAAAAATAAGGTTATATTTGTAAAAATCGTGGGTTTTCAAAGGAAATAAATTCTATATAATCTGAGATGAAATATTTCTAAGACACCCACACGTCTAGATTTTTCAATACTTTTTGATTGAATGTTCTTTACAATACTACTTTTATAGGTCACTGAATTTATCTCAATTTGTCTTGATATTCTAAATAAAATGTATATATTCCCACATGATTCGCTAAAGTTTTAAAGTGAAAAATCAGATTTTTCTCAATAAATGATTTTTTGTTTTGTTTAAAAAACAAAAATTATATTTCTTTGTTTTAAATTTGATTTTCTAAGCTCTGCGAATCTCAGCAGTTTAAAAAATAATCACAAGCTGATATTACAGCAACGAAAGTGCTGACTGAAAGTTTTGAAAACTTAAATTACAAGATGGTTTTATTTAATATTGCTGTTTGATGAGGTATTTCATTTCGTTTAAAACAGTTTTATTTCAATTAAAAAAAAAAAAAAAAAAAAAAATTGGATATAAAAAAAATATATAAAGTGATATTTATAAATGATATACATATATATTGGAATCGAACTCGTGAAATCAAAACGGGTTAAGTATTTTTCGAATGTGATATCAGATGACCTCAACTCCACTCAACAACTTCACTCTAGTTTATTTGATATGCGAATCAGAAGACTTTCCAGCCTGTTTTTAATATACCCACACGAATCGTTTATTTAAAAATCATTGCGATTGACATTCTAAATTCTTTTTGTGTTAAAATTCGATTAATACACAAATGTCATGATTATTTTTTTTACAGAATATATATATTTCAAGGGAAAAATAAATCTGTTTTTTTTTGTTATTTAAAATTATCATAAAATTGTTTTCATTGTAAAATGTTTTTAATTTTGAATTAAAAATTTTGTTACAGAAATTATTGGAGTCCTTTGATGTTTATGGTGAATGCAGCGCTTCATTTCAACAACAATTGGTGAGTAATTATTTCTTTATTTTTCATGAACGATATTTTTTGCGCATGATTATATGTTTGTGATTTTATATTATGTTTATTTAAATATTTTTTTATGAATATAATTATACTTATTTATTTGGATATATTAAGATGTATATTTATATTATTTAAATATAAATATAATTAATAAGAAATATAAAAAAAAAGATAATATTTTTTATAATAAGGATGCGATAATTAACATTGGACGTATTCTTAATTATTTTTTTTTCTCTATCGCGCTCCCTCCCCTTGGGATAAATTAACGTTTTGTATATTTAAAAGGATCACGTTTATTTTTAAACTAAACGTATAGTAATATAATTTCCATTAATGATGAGTGTTTATAATTTATTTTTTTTTTTATTCCATTCTCGCATGTGTGAAGCACTTATATATCATCTCTCTCTCTCTTTCTCAGTCGCAATATTTTACAATATATTCATTCGTGAAGAAAATTTAAGATATCGCTTTATGAATTGATTGTGGCTTTGTTGTTATAACGACCAAAAGGATCTTGAGTATAAAACAAAAAAAAAAAAAAAATATCTTCAATATTTATCGCACGTGTCCTTTCTCCTTGAAATATTGCAGTGTCGAATAAACTGTTATAGTCTCAATGTTACATAATATAGTTGCAAATTAACGTCACCTTGTGTATAAAACACACACGATTCATCTGCGAATTGTTTTTTCGCGTTTGACTTCCGCTTATATAGTCGCGAGAAGGCCAAGGAAATATAACTTAAGATTTTATTGAATTTTGTTTTCTTCTGCTTGCGGATCTATGGAAATATTATTCTTCTCTTTCGAGATTTTAATTGTTGATTTAATTTTAAAAACGATTAGAGGTGGAAAAAAATAATTTTCATAATATTTTATCGAGAGGAAAAATAAAAAATTTTAATTAGGTTGGATTTTTTTAATTTAAAAAATATGAAAATTATATTTTATTAAACTATTAAAAATTTGTTTAACAGGACACAAAGGGTTAAATTCATTTTAGAATTTTATACATTCTTTTTTTTTCGACATGATCGAACCAATCAAATCAAGGAATAGACCATGAGAGCGTGCGTGACAATGTTGGCCCTGGTAACAACTCCAGCGTGCAATGTCAGCTTTTTACCTATTAATGATTGTGGTTGCATTTCAAAACAACTAATTCATTCACCTATTCAGGTCATTACCAAATTGTCAGGGTCTATACAGAATTTAATCTCATTAAAACTAACATCGTGACAAATTCCATATTATATACACTTCCGCCCTTTTTAATATATAAATACATATATATATCACTAGCTCTAGATAATTATCACAGCTTTTAATTTGACCGAGATCTCAAAATATTTCGTTAAATTCGCACTTATATAAACTGCGACAAGGTCTTCAATTAAATCCAATTCAAAAAAGATCTGAAATTAAAAACAACAGTCGATTAGCTCTCTAAACCAGGAAAAATTTATAAGGAATATAAAAGTCGATTTTTTGTTTTGCAATTTAGATTTAGATTAATCTTCCTAATCTAGATTTTTTTTTTAAAAGGGGGAAAAAATAGTTTAGATGAAAATTCTATTATTCAAAATTAATGAGAGAGTGATTTTAATAATTCCACAATTAGTTCAAAAATTCACTCAACGCGGTTTCGCGATGAAATAAAATAAAATTAGTCTAATAATTTGGTTAATTATTTTTCAATTCTTGGAATAATTTTACTCTTGGAAATATAATGAGCATTATATATATGTATATTCCAAAGAGAATTAATCTTTCTCTCTTTTGGTAGTTACTTTCTCTGCTATATATAAATGTGTGAGAAAAATCTAAAAACATATCTTGAGAGAATATTCTTTTAACCTTCGTGTCAAGGATCAAAAGTTCCGCGTTCTTCAGGATCCTTTCTCGCGATTCGATATAGACAGAGAGAAATACAAAAAAAAAGAAAAAAAAAAAAAAAAAAGAAAGAGATAGAGAGAGATTGACTGGGATTCTAGACCGCAATGACAAATAGACTGCGAACAATCCACATGGGCTCTCCTTTGTTGTCTCTCTTTTCTACCTCACCCACTCATTTTGCGCCGGTTATATACTCAAAATGTACACTCTTATTCCACGTGTATATAGAAATA